CTGGGCCAAGATGAAGCCACAATTTCGGTAAACGACAAAACGATCGCAGAGCTTCGACAGCTGAACGACAATCAGCGGCACACGATCGAGATGGCGAATCTGACTCTGGAATCGGTAAGGGTCAGATGGAGCACGGCAGACGAAAAGTTCCACAAGCTGACAAGGACCATGCGCTCGGCAGGACAGGAGCTATTGAAACTGGGAGAAAAAGCCTGATAGGACTCTGGCTTAGGGGGAGGGGAGCTAATGTCACGAACGTGGCTTAGCGAGGAAAGGGTTTTTCACGTGACACATGGTTATGTGTCACAGGTATGTTATTGTTTCACGCATATGACCTATTCGGGTTATATGATTAGTTATGTGTGGGATTTGTGATGCTTTCGCACATGGCTCAAGTATGAGTCATGGGACATGCGCCTGACGAGTATGCCTTACGAGTGTGCCTTACGGGCAAGCCTTGCGCATATGATTTATGTTTCACACATGTCCTCATTATGATGTCATGGGTTTCATGCATATGACTCAGTTGAGTCATATGACTTGTTTATTGTGTTATGATTGGTTTATGAGTTTCGCACATGACCTCGCTATGAGGTCATGGGTTTTGAGCATGTGATCACTTTGGTCATATGACTAGTTTGTTATGATTTAGTTTCGCACATGTGACCACTTTAGGTCACATGACTAAAGTTGGGAAGAACACTATATAAGGAGGCCAATGCGGCTGAGGAAGATAGGTTCTTCACGCTTTGTTCTAAGTACTTTTCCTACTTATTACTTTAACGAATATAAAACACCCTTACGATCTTTACCTTTATTGCAACTTTATCATTACGCCAAGGAAGGAGCTTTACCAAGAAGAGTTAGAGAAAGCTTACGATAGGCGTTCCCGGTAGAAGACAAGGGTCTTGTACTATCTGTAACGTAGGCAGAGGCCTAGAACTATCATAAGACAAAGAGAAGAAGAAAGACAGGAAGAGAAGTATCGTTCCCTGTCGCCAAGCACTAACTATCCAAAGAGGGATCGTTACACCTCTCAACTTAAGTTGTAGGTATTTTCAGTTATATTATTTTTAGATAAGAAATACAATATAAAATAGTATACCAATATATTCTCTAGATCTAGGTAATAATATTTTCAGGAATAGCATGATCTCCACAACCGAGTTTTGTGTTAACCAATAGCTCCTGTAGTGTATAAAATGGGACCAGGTTTTAAGGAGTTACTTACTATACTACAATTAGCCTCTAGGAATGTTTGATTTGATGAACTTATGAATTTATTAATGTTCCTCACTATGGTTTTACTTGATTGTTCTTCCTGGTCCAAAAAGAAAGCACTATTCTCATAATGTTATATTATATGCATCATACACCTACTAAGATATTACTTATGCACTGTGCCATGAATCCATGGTAGACCCTTGTATCCGGACACCTTGGCGCCAAGTCTCATACAGTGGGGGTGTCCAACAGCAACTCAGCCGCGATAGCAGAATAAACCTTTTAGAGAAGTATAGTATCATTCCTTACCTGTTAAAAAAGTTCATCCAAGAATTACATCATTACAGTACTCCAATCACCAAAAAATCTTTTACTTTATTTTTTTTAAAAAAAATTTTACCCTCTGGTGACACAAACTGAACTAGGACTCCTTCAACCGTTTTTCCTCACAAATAGAGACATCCCACGATGCGATGGGCAACGTAACGCAAGTTACAAGTTCTAAACGCTCTGCTCCATACCAAGCATCAAGAACCCCCCCCCAACACAGGGGGGGGCACTCGTGATGTCTGGCAAATTGTGTTCATATTACCGCCCGTCCCAATTTCGGACTTAAAAATATTCTGGCTCATTACTCCTGGCACGTGTGCTACCAGTACTCGAGTAGCACGAGTCAATCTCGCTATGTGCAACATTTCCTTGTTGTGTCACCCTGGCCGTGGGCTTAGATCGAGTGCTGAAGCTAGTGTATTGTGTGACGAGCTTAGTTCGTGCAAGTCTACCATCGAGGGCGGGGGTCGCATCTTTTTTTTCTTTTTTTCCTTGCTTTTGCTTTGCTGTGCTTTTCTGGCGGGCGGGCTGAGGCTGAGCCATGCGATTCGTGGAATTGTATCACATCAACCATTAAATTAGGCTGGGATTTATTTATTTAAAAGATATTTTTACTTGTATTATTATTTTGTGATCCACCTTTATCGGTTGTTGGCCAATACTAGTACGGTATGCTACCCTTACTCGGGTACCGGCTATTTCGCAGTTTAGGTCAAGTTGCAGTTGTCCCTGTGGCATAGACTACAGTACCGGTTCCCGAGATTTCGAGCAGCCCTAGTCCAGGCCTGTTAATTAAAAGAGAGTTTTTGCAGTACTGGTACCGGTACTTGAGTACTCGAACACAGTGACGCGAGAGGTGCAAGTATGAGAACAAGTATGAGTACGGGTGCGGTACTCGAGTCCAGATGATACAAGTACTTGAGTAAACCGGTTCAAGGGTCAGGAACAGAGCAGGGGTGTTGATGCTGAGTTTGGTCAAAGTTAGTCGTAAGTCTATGCTGCAACCAGCTTGTCTGAAAACACGAGCCTTCCATTGCCCAGAAAGAGCCTGGAGAAGGTTATTTCCCCAATAGATGTATTGAACAGGAGGCCAGGAATCTTTCAGGGTCATGTTTCTCGGGTGTACGAGTACCGTACCACAGCTACTGAAATTTTAGTTATGCATTGTATGAGTACAAGCACAATTATTTGATGCCTGACCCTTGCAGACTACGCTCTCTCTTGCCCCCTGATATCCCGCGGACCGTAGGGGTATTGACTCGTGCAGTGCTCATACTGTACTCGTACTAGTACGGTAGTATGATAGCTAAAGTACAGTAACAATACTTGTGCGTGTCAGGTGTCAGGTGTCGGCTTGGAAGATCCAGTGCTCAGAGTGCCCACGCCCGCGAGAATATTCTTCCGCAGCTCCGGGGAGGTCTTGATTTGGTTTTAGCCGTTGGTACAAGTCCCAGGCAAGAAGTATTCGGAAACAGAGGGCCCCGGTCATAGGCTGCAGGGATATTGGAAGATGCATGAATGTCTGTGTACAAGTATCATCCCGCCAGTCTCTTGACAATATCGACAAAAAGAAGAAGAAAATACCCAAATCATTGAGGTGTGCTTACAAGTACAAGTGTCGTACTTGTAATTTTTACAAGGCTGATGCAAGTGCGGTCAAGCAAGCAAGCGGGCGAACAGAATCCGGCCAGCCGCCACCAATGATAAAGAAAGACAAAAAGGGTTGCGGGAGACAACTCTTTGGCTCACGGCTCCCTATTTTTCGCGGATAGGTAAACGCGAGAGTGTTTTTTGTGTGCCGGTATCTGAACCGCAGGCATGATGCGAAGTGATTTGTGCGGGGAGAAGTAGTACCTCCCTAAAGAGACAATAGTCGAATTCATTCAGAGTTTGGAAAATTGCGTCCTGGACCTCGTGAGATAGAGGCGAATGGAATTCCATGAACATGTCTCTAGTTCCTGAAGGAATTGTGCCTTCCGATTCGTTTCAGGATTGTGTTGTGACGATTCGCCGACTTTGCAGGGCTCGTCGAACGAGAGCTCGCGTGCTGGTACCGGTACCATAGCGTACCGTACTCGAGTAGAATTGAAGCCCTCCGAGTTGGTCAAGGATTCGATTGGCTGCCACACTTCCTGTGCTCGAGTAGTGTGGACACTGTAGGGTCCTTTTTCTGAAGGTGGATGCCACTCTGTGCTGCGTTCGGTGTATTTTCTTTTTTCTTTCATCCTTTTTTTCTTTTTTTTTCTTTTTTTCTTTTTTCCATCCTTTCCTTTCTTTTCCCATTTCCATGGATAAATGGTAACCAATCAAAAGGACGCTTAGGCGGAACTGTAGACACAGCCCATAAGCCAAAATAGAAACCTCGACGCCCAAAAGCCCCGTTCAGGATCTTTTTCTTGAATCTCCATTCGCTCGTACTTATAGAGGCTGCAGTCGTTACAACATCCAGTCCTGCCTCTTACATCCTCGCCTTCACCTTTTCCCTCCCTTCACTCCCCTACTTCGCTCCAACCCTCCATCAAACCATCTTTGTTCCCATCACTCTCTCTACCTCTGGGTGCTATTGTCTTCAAACCCTAGTCAGTCGCTACGAATCACCCTCCCGGAACCCAAGCGCCTTCTCCCCGTTTCCTCTGACATACGCGTTTCGTCTGAAGAGAGAACCGCCAAAAAATAAAATAAAATAAAAAAACAGCCCTTTTTAGGCTTGGTGATTTCAAAAGGTAAATGTCTAGACGATAATTTCAAAAGGTTTCCACTTTGTCTTTTTTCTTGCCCATCATCGGTATTCCGGTTCTGTGCTCCATGATTTCCCTTTTTACTCCATATACCGGTACTCGCTATTCCCAAATCTCGTTATCATTTTCCGAATCCTTGTGGCTGGGATGTACGATTGTTGCATGTCGAGCTGTATGATAGGCTGTTCCAATTGCCCTTCCTCGTTGCGGGAACGAGAGCATTGCCCGGCCAACCCCCATTTGAAACTTTTTGCACTTGCTACAAGTACAAACTCCTCTTTTTTTTCACTCTTTTTTCCTTTTTTTTCCCACAGGTTGCTTGCATCCTTCCGCTGCTCTGTCTTTCTGGTTACCGTTGTGGTTGCTGGCCGGCTGGTCACTCACTCTCCTTGGTTGTTGGTTCTTGGTTGCTGGGGCCCTCTATTCGACGAGTATTGTCTAGCTTCCACGTCCTTCACTCAGCCGCCTTCCTTGATTGATGCTGCTCCCTTGCCCTCTGCTAACATAAAAGTCAACAGAGCCCCACACCCAACCTCCTCTCGATTTCTTCATTCAGTGTTTGAACAGACTTCTCGCGAACACTCAAGGTTTACCAAGGGAAAGACAAACAAATCTCTCCTCCCCCTCCTCCCCCTCCCTCCCCTTGCCCATACCTTCAATTGTCACTATCCATTACCATCTTATTTCTTCCCCTCTTCCTCCTGATAAGAACTTTGTCTGTTCCTATCAATCTTCACAAGACGATGTCTCGTCGTTCGCTTTCCCTCTTGAGTTCGTTGCTCTTTGTTCTGTTGCTCTTTACTCCCACCATCCTCGCGGACAGTGAGCAGCAGTTCCAAGAACTCGCAAGGGACGTCCCGCAGGACAGACTCCATGCAGCCCTTCACGACTACAATGGGGCTAAGTTCAAGCATGGTGTGTTCCCCGGCGACCGACCCGCTCTTGATGTCATCCACCGCGAACGGGCTGCTGATGCCACCCGTCTAGTCAAATTGGCGAAACGACAATCAAATACCACAACCACGAGCTCCCCCCCCAGCACCCCTCCCACTACCACTGCCCTCTCAGTCACTCCCACCTCTAGACCTTCGTCGGCTAGTCCGACAACGCGTCCGCCGACAACCACCCCCGAGCCAGCCACTACAGCACCCTCTGCCGCCCCCAAAAGAGGAACTACTTCCCTCACCTCAAGACTCACCAGGACCGTCACTGGTCCCGATGGCGTAGCCACTTTCACGGATGTCACCGTTGTTGTTGCTACGCCCACTGATGAGGCCGCTGCCGCACCAGAGGAGACCTCATCATCGACTGCGCCCCCTGGTTCGCCCGGGCTTCAGAACGTTGGATTGAGGGTTAGTGGAGGAGATAGTGCGATTGTAGCTGTTATTGCTGCATTGGGCTTCTTCATGCTATGAGGTGTTTATGTGGTGAAATGGGCATGGCTTTCTTTCGATTCTAACGGCCCATGAGCATTATATTTTTCTCTTCATCTTTCGTACGGATCTCCTCCCCTTCTCTTGTGAGGCGGAAGTTCTTTCGTTGAGATGGAACGGCTAGAATCTGGAGCCGGGGTACGTCCGGGATAATTGAGTTTAGAGGGGAAGGGTGGATTATCGGCCATCCTTGCAGCAGATTGTTTTGCATTGCGGTTACTCATTTGTACTCTTTTTTTCTTGCTGTTCTTTACTATTCCTCCCTTTAGTATGCATTTCTGGGTTGGACATCTCTTACTATAATGTCTTTTTTCTGCACATAAAGGCTCTGCTTCACGGTGTTTGTTTTAGCCATATCATACGTTTGAGGTGGTGTTTTTTTTCCCCCCCCTCATGCTTTAGGATTCAATTTAAAAGCAACAAAACATTGAATAACTTTGTGTTGCATAACTCGGAAAGTTTTTTTTTAGATTCTTTTTATTATACTTTTTGTGATCGCTCCCACCTCCAACGGGAGCACTCCCCCAATTCAGGCGACCAGTCCAGTTGATATACCTATATGGATTAATCCAGATACCCACCCTTCTTCCGCACAGTCATTATACGGTATTACCGCGGCGGGCTACGAATTGGCTCTCGCCCTTGCCCTTCCCCGTCAATGTGCATTACTATTACTCCAATCCGATGATTATTGATCTATGGTCCTTAGCCTATCGATCTTCACACCCCTTACCCCCCGTGATCGTCCGTCCACCCCACCACACAACAGACCCCCACCACCATCCGCCGTTGCCGGGAGAGGGAGTGAGTGGAAGGATAAGAAATTGTTCATCTGGAAGGAGGATATCTGGGTGAATACCGCGCGTAGTGTCTATTTTTAGAATATTAGGTGTTCACTTGTGGCCCTGTGATTGTGGGGCGGGTGGGTGTTTTTGTTTTACCCATCAGTTTCTTTGTGCCTTGCTGTGCTGGAGTGCGCTGTGAAGTGGCAATAGTCGGAGGGAATAACACTGTGAGAGGGGTTGGGAGTCACGGTGAGTGAGTGAGTTGTTGTGAGTTACTGGCATTGTGCCGGAATGGCCTACTGGGTAGAATATTGCGCCACGTGGAATCAGCTAGTCTTTGTCCGTCTGTCCGTCTGTCTGCCCGCCTTATAATTTTGTCTATGGTGGAGTATAGGTACGTACTCTACGAGTACAGTATAGTACAAGCGGCGTCGTGGACTGATAAGTATCATACCGATACAGTATCGGTATATGTTAGAACAATTATCATGGATCTGCCCTTAGCTCAGCTCGGACAGACACGGGAGGGGAGCGAACCACACGGTTGGATTTGTGGGCTGCTCGGGAGTGCGGATTGGAGGGGTGAGGTGATCCGTGACTCGCCTTTACCCTAAGGACTACTGTGCTCCTTAGAAAGGAGGGATTCTGTGCTGTGCTGCGCGAGCAGGGGAAAGATGTGAGTGGGGGGGCCGGTTCGATTAAAGTTATCATATTCTTCCCCGTCATTGGCACCGAGCGGTTTATTATTTGAAACGGCGGGCTTGAGGGAATGAAGGGAAGAAGGAGGCTTAACTTATGTATGACAATATTATCATAACCCCATGGGCTGCATTTTTCCCCCAGGTGAAGATACGAAGGTTTCGAGTGATGGGTTGTGCATGAGCACGTGATCTCGAAATTATGCTCTATGTCCGCCTTAACATCGACAATCCCCTAGTCTATGTGCTATCCGCACAATTCACCACCACCACCTCAACAACAAACACACACCAAAAACAAATGCCAACCGCAAAAACCCACCCTCGACGCACGGGTCCTACTTCCGCGATGCGCGCGATGGAGCCACACATATACACCGCAATCCTGGCAAGCACCTTCATCACCGCCTTTCCAAACCTGGTTTCTGACCCGGCGAGCACACTCCTGTGGACGCTCCCGGGACTAGCACTTTTGCAAGCAATCTATCAAGTCCGCTGCCTCCGCGTGCTGAAACCTGCTTCCCCGTCGGGGACGGGGAGGAAGGAGGGTATGGGCGTCAGCAGCAAGATAATTGTACCTCCCCCTCTCATCCCCACCACCGCATATATAGTTTATATAGCCGTGGCTAATTTTCTACCAGTCATCGTTCCTAACAACCCTCTTCGCAACAACGATCGGCACGGCAGCGCTCTACGTACTGCTCGTGCTCTTCGGTGCCCCTGTGACGACGCATGTACTCCCCACACTGCTGTGCGCGATGCATGCGTCGTTGCTGGCGGTTGCACCGTTGGTGTATAAGTATCGCCTCGAGGGCAGGATCTGGAGAGAGATTCTGGGAGGGAGGGCCGTTATCGAGGAGTGCTTCGCTGGTGCTGTCGGCATGTTGGTGGGTGCGTGGGTTGGGGCCGTGCCAATTCCTTTGGGTACGTTTTCTCTCGCTAATTGTTGGAGATGATTGTTTTCTTTTTCTTTTTCCTTTAAGGACGTGAGCTAATTGTGGAATTAGATTGGTGAGTTTAGTTTTTTTTTTCTCCGGAGGGAGGGGTTGGGGGGGATGGTGTGTATAGGTATGATGACGGTTTGACTGACTTGAGTTTATAGGGATCGTGAATGGCAGAAGTGGCCGGTTACTATTGTCACCGGGGCGTATATCGGATACACGGTTGGGAAAAGCTTGGGCTGGGCGTACTCCGGGAAGCGTTTGCCTTTGTAGCTTTTTCTTTTTCTTTCTTTCTTTATTCTTTCACACTGGTAGGTCACGAGCAAGCAAGCTTAATTCTGTTTAAAACTGCAAGAAAAAAAATTGTCAGTTGAGCAGGCAAGGAAAGCAATGAAGGTGGCTTTTTCCCCCCATTTAAAAATTATAATTTCTGTACCAAAATAATGTATTACTAGCTATCATATCACCGATAGGATTGACTTCTGGGGAAATAAGTCAATTGTTCCGTCCGGTGCACAATGTTGTGAAAGAGTAACTTGTGTCACAGCCCTTTCCACTCTGGGCACTTGGGCAAACCGAAAATGCAAGGGGTGTGTTTTACGCGCCTCATTCGCAACCTGTCCTCTTCACCGAAAAAAAAAATCCCCTCCCCCAAACCTTTCCCCCACAATTTCAACCACCACCACCACCACCACAAACCCCACTAATGCAACAATGAACGAAGAATTCTTTGGTGAAAAGCGCACCTCTCTCGGCGAGAGCGTGCGCACCTTTGATGCCTTCCGTACGTAACCTACTGCCACCCTCCACCGCATCCACCCATATCATACTAACAATGACGCAGCAAAAACTCGAGCAACGTACACAACCCGCACCCCCCGCGGCGGCGCAATCACCCTCCTCCTCCTGCTTACCAGCGCCTGCCTGACCCTCACGGAGCTGCGAAACTACCTGACGGGCAGCGAGTCGCACACATTCATGGTGGAGCCGGGCATCGGGCACGACATGCAGATAAACCTCGACATAACGGTGGCCATGCCGTGCTCGAGCCTGCACCTGAATGTGCAGGACGCGATGCAGGACCGCATACTGGCCGGGGAATTGCTGTCGCGGGAGGAGGTGTGGTTCGACGATGCGGGCGCGCACAAGCTCTACTCGGAGGGTGCGGATGCGGAAACGGAGCGACGTGTCTACGAGGTCCTCAGGAAGGGGGGGAAGAAGGGTGGGTTCAAGAAGGGTGGGGGGAGGAAGGGAGGTTTGTTCTCCTCGTTGGTGGGGAAGGGCGCGGGCGAGGGTGGGGGGAGTTGCAGGATTTATGGGAGTATGGGGGTTAATCGGATTCTGGGCGATTTCCATATCACCGCCAAGGGGCATGGGTATTGGGAGGATGGGGCGCACATTGATCATCGGTGTGAGTTCTTCTCCTCTCCTTCGCCTCTGGCCGTCAAAGTTTTCTCGGGCTAATGTGAATGGCATGGTGATGGTTTGTGGTAAAAAGCGTTCAACTTCTCCCACGTAATCACCGAACTATCATTCGGCGACTATTACCCGAAACTGGTGAACCCACTTGACGGGGTCGTCTCCAAAACCGACGAAAGTAGTTCTCCTCTACCCCCCTCTCCCCTTTCCCCACTCCCCTCACTAACGATACCCCGCCCTCGGCAGACTTCCACAAGTTTCAATACTTCCTCTCCATAGTCCCAACAACCTACGAATCCCAAACATCCGGGAAATCACTCCTGACGAATCAGTACGCCGTCACCGAGCAATCCCGCAAAATCTCTTCGCACTCCGTGCCCGGGATTTACTTCAAGTACGATATTGAACCCATCTCGCTCAAAATTAGTGATCGGAGGACGGCCTTGCTGGCCTTTGTTGTTAGGTTTGTTTTTTAACACCTACCCCACCTTTATTTGACTATGTGGGGCAAGGCTAATGCGGAGTGTGTGGGGTATAGACTAGTCAACATTGTCAGCGGAATACTAGTTGGTGGCGGGTGGGTTTATGGCCTTTTTGGCACGCTTGCTGGGTACTTTCGTCGACAGAGGAGGACGACGGATGGTATGCTTAATGGGAGGGCACTTGGAGATGAGGAATGATGATGGAATGTATGACGATTGGGGGAAGGGTTCTTGTTTCTGTTATTAAATGGGAGTTTTGTGTTTCTTCTCCTTTTGTTTTTGGAGTGAATCGAGTTACCATGAATTTCAAGGTTATAAAACTTGGGTTATATCATAAGGTATGGGTGCTGGGGTATAAATTGAGTTTTTTTTTGCTTCCCTATTCTCCTTTTTGGATTGCTTGCTTTTGGAATAAACATTACTTTGAAGACTCTACTTATATTGTTCTAATATTCTGCCCTAAGAATTGGTATGAGGGAGCGAGGTGTTGTAAAAATTACCCTTCAGCCCAAGAGATGCTATGAAAGCTAGTTAGCACAAAAAATAAAACCGTTCTTCGAGAAAGGTAAAATCGGGAGAACTCACGCAAACATAATCCCAAAACCCAAAGCCATCGCGATACTGCCCTACCGATCAGTGACACATTCCACAAACACGTTTTTTTACCAAGGGGAGCTTACGCCTGAGTAATCGACTTTCTAACCTCCTCTCCCTTGTTCTTCCCAGTCTCCAGCAGCTCGGGAATCACGCTGAAACCCACATATAAGAAGGTACCAGCCGTGAACGGTAACACCAGATCACCAGCCGTCAACCCAGTGCCCCAAATCCCCACGTCGGACCCCTCACCACCGACAGCCTCGTCCGCAGTGCCAGAGGCAGAATATGTCTGAATAGCGATGCCAATGAACGTCCCCAAGAAGGCGCCGACAGCAGTGAAGAACTGTGCGCCCATGGCCTGCCACTTTGTAAAGCCGGATTGGACAAGGAGGGCGAAGTCACCGACCTCATGCGGGATCTCGTGGAAGAAGACGGCGACGGTAGTGGTCGCGCCGACCATGGGACCAGCGTAGAAGGCAGCGGACATAGCAAGGCCGTCGGTGATGTTGTGGGAGAAGTCAGCGATGAGGTTGAGGTATGAGGAGAGCTTAATGGAGTTGCTTGGCTCGGGTTTCTTCGCTCTGCCATCCTTCACCTCGTCGGTAGGGGTGGGGGACTTGTTGCCCTTGCGGTTCTTTACGTCGCCGGATTTGTCCCCCACGTTGGCGCCGGAGCTGACGCTTGTATCTTCAGAGTGAGAGTGGGTGTGAGAGTGCGAGTGAGAGTGCCCGTCCCCGTCGCCCAGGATGCGCATGGTCTTATCCATGGCAACGAACGTGACGAACCCAACGAAAATGAACAATCCCAGCAGTGAGTTCCGCTTCGGATCGAGCATGACAAAGTGCACTCCATCCCCGTGCGGTTCTCCCATGAAGGTCTGCGGGATCAAGTGTAGCAGCGTGTCTCCCAATAAACCCCCGACGGCAAAAGCGACCATGACGGAGAGACTGGAGGGATCAATGTTTGTAGGAACGAGTGCCAGCAGAAAATCTACCCCTCATTTCGATCTCATCAGCAAGTCCTCCTTCCCCTCTCTCATAAGTTACCAAGTAAGAAAGGAACTCACTGGGAGGTCCAGAAATATACGCCGTAGCCAACAAACTGTTCACGGCGGGCCCCGCAGGAAACAATATCGCGAAGACCCTCTTCATGAGACTCGAAGTCTCGGGACTGTTCGCGAGGCGCTCGTGATTCAATTTCTGCACAAGTGGGCATTCCTACTCCGCATTAGCAACCTCTCCATAGCGGTATCCATCTTCTAGAAAGCATACCTGCAACAACCCCTCAACCTCCCGACTCGTAAGTTCCAAAACATTCCTCTCCTCCTTCGCCGAGACGAGCGCGAAAAAGAATAACGCTAGCGAAACCGCTATCCACAAACACCTCATAAAACTCCTCATTTGAATGACGAATTTTGTTTCCTTCTTGGTAATGAATTATTGTAGGGCAGGCTTATGTCGTAATACCGGTACTGTGGAATCAGCGTTGCGTTCTCGCCGACTGGGTTGTGGTGATTGACGGACAGGGACACCGTGGTCACGACTCTGGAGGGCCCAGGGCTGACGACTCGACAAGCGGGCGGGTGAGGGGCACGAACAGAAACCGCTCGTATTGGGGAGGGTATGATATATTCGAGGATTTTCTAAGTGGTAAGACTCCGGTGTTGGAAAACTTTCGGACTTTTGACTCGACTCTGAATGCTGTATGGTATGGTATGGTATGGTATGGTGAGGAGGGGTTTATCCTATGCCTCAATGTTTACATGGATTCATAGCTCAGGGTTAGACTAAGGGGCCACGGAGGCATCTTCTCACGAATGTAAGCAGGGTAACCATGCTCATGTGCGGTCCAGGGTCCGTGTTTCCTAAGGGACATCTTGGAAACGACGTGGCTGAAAACGCCGTGCTCTACGAGTATGGATACTACGGTACTCGTATCATATCGTAACATTATTAGGGAAACCAAGTCCCAATGGGGATTAGGATCTGTCTGGATGGATGTCCCAATCATTGTTCACTCATATCGACCCCAATGGCTCCTGCCAGCCAAGGGTATTGAATTTGTTGAGCCAACGGCAATGCTGACGACACTGGACCTCAAATTCAAAACATTGAATGAATTGCGATGGGGATATCATAACTCATTCATAAAACTATGTAAGTCCCATAAGGTCAAACTCATGCTTTAAGTACATGCTCTATTCACCACTCGCAATACTAATATTCCCTTCATTGTGCTTGTTCTCTATATTAAAACAAAAAAGGGTAACTTGGTATAATTTCCGCTCGTATCATGGTCTGCGGGTCTAGCCGGGCTATTCCGAAAATCATAGTCAACGCATCAGTTTATACCGGGAGCCATAGCAGATCCAGAGGTGAATGGGACAATAGCGTAGTACCTCTCAGGGCAGGCCCTCTTAAGAACTCAAGTGTGGACGTTTACTAGTATCATATGCACAGGCATCTTTTATAGATGTGCATCATTGGATATCACTCGTGGTTATACGAGGATTTGTTTGTAGCAATGCGTATTAGCTAATAGAAAGGGAGATTCCTCGATAATGATCAAGTTGTCTGAAATACAAGAAAATAAGGAATATAGCCTGGCTATATAGAAAGGTTGGGCTTGAGGCACCTTTAACAAGAAAGCGGGAAACAAAGATCGGTTAATAAACATACAAGGGTCACAGGAGGAACAAGGAGAATAATGGGAATAAAGAGAGAACAATAAACGACCGGGTGTGACAAGGCCAACAGGTATCCTGAATGAAGCCATTGAGGGTAAAAAGGTATACTCATATATGAGAAATGTTGTGCGCGGTGTTATTTGCTCTGCATATGCGGTACTTCTTCGGGGCACACATTCCCCTTTCCTGTGTTCCGAGTGGGGGGACGGATTGTGTACACCACGGCGGAGGGAGGCATACATTCACTTCTATATTAGTAGGAACATGGTATTACCCTAACTGGGTTTCTCCCTCGACCTCGGAGAATTCATGAGTATCTTAGCTGGATTTTAAAATGCCGATACAGCGCCTTCTGCCCAGTACCCAGGATACGATTGTTGGAAATAAACTTAATGACTATAAACTAGGGCCGACATGCACTCCCCGCTTCGTAAAATAACTTACTACATATCACTCCCAAATCACTTTGTCCAGACAGGTGATGTGGGGTTGTTCTATAATAGCAGCTCTTATTCTGTGCAATGGATTTTTTTTGCTATGAAAATCAATACTAACACTGCACTACCCCTGCTGCTCCGAAGACCCCTTGACATCCTCCTTGGCATCCTCCTTTTTCTCGGCCCCCTCATCAGTGCCTGTAGGAATTAGGTTCCTCAGAATAAGGTCGTAGTTGACCTCCTCAACTTTCTTGACCTACCCCCCACTCATCAACATTACCCCAGATGCCGACCTTGGAGAAAACTCACATTATACTTCAACCCATCTCCCCTCCTCCTGAGCGAATCGTTCTTCAAATTCAAGACCTGAAATGAAGAATGAATGTCCTTGATAAATCTGTTAATCATCTGGGGACGCAAGAAGTCACGTTGAGTAACAGCGTTGGTAGTAAGACGAGTCTTCATCCCCGTATTAGTCAATCGCAGCCCCCCACCATAAACAGAAGGGAGAATAAAATTGAGAAAAAAAGGTACCAATTCCTCGACAAGGCCAAGCACAGCATGCAAATACTCTTCAATGGTTAGATGAAACTTGTCCTCCACCTTCAAGTTCACCGGAATTCCTAGAACACCCCCAACCTCCTCGATCGTCAAGAGGCTATTCTCTGCGTTCCCAGGGGCATAGCTGCGCTGCAGCCAGCCCCGGAATAGCACCAGGAACGTCACGTTCTGTATATCCCTGGACCAGATGCCATTGTACTTGTAGTAGGGATAATCCTTGACGATGTCGACGAGGCCTTGAATGCCGTGGCGGAGGCGCTTGAAGCCTTCGTCGGCGGTGGTGGTTAGTTCGATGACTTTTGCCCGTTAGTGATTGCGCGTAGCTTGCATACGGGTGGAGGGGGGGGGAGGAATTGCCGTGCTCCGGGGGGACGATGTGGACTCTTGAAAGGATGGAAGTAGTTAATCGGACTCCAATTGATTGTGGGGTTAGCTGTAAAATATTTTAATCATTTTGTGGGAGCAAACCTTCTTTATCAATTATCTTCAGCGCCTCGCGGATGTCCTAGACTCTTTAGCACTACCCAAAGCCTACTTTGTTTGTCCGGGTGGTGATCATGGTGGTGATGGGGAGTAAGTACTTCTTTAACCTGACTATCCTTCTCAATCTGTTCTTGAACCGCTGCGAAGATTTCCGGATCGACCATGGCGTAGATATTATCAGAAGACATGATTGTGGGTGTGATATCCTATGGATAACTGTTAACTGCTTGTGTGGTGGGGTAGTAGAGTGAAACTTGTTGGGTGTGTTTGTTGTGTTTGGTGGGGAACGGTGGTCCGAGTCAAGGGAGGGAAGCTCTATGGTGCCCTGGTAATCTTGCTCGGCTATATAGGGCGAATGGTGCACGGGCCACCGGCAACACATGGTTCCATAGGTGTGCAAGTTCTCCACGCGGAGTTCGCAACCCTTAAGCAAACCTTTGGGTGCTGAACATTTGCGCAAGGCGAGGATTTACCAGGGTCTCTACAAGTTAATTTTTGTAACTAGAAGTTGTGTTTGTCATATATTGGTCACAAAAACCTCATTACCGTAATTCGTTTTCTAAGACATAATTTACCGGTATCTATAACTACTCAAGTTATGCTTGCACACGGCCCCCTCGGATGAACGATCAGAGTTATAATTATGATAGGTTCAACGCCACATGCTCCTCTACTAAGCCGATGCTGTGAAATAAATACGGTAGATAGGGAGACATGGCGCACTGAAAGGTTAAGGGTGGCAGCCTCTCCTAGGCCCACGCCTCAACCCTCCTCTGCAACACCCCCCTAGCCTCACTCGTACTAACACACCCAACCAACCCCAGCTCCTCCAATATACCCCTCGCTTTTTCATTATCTTCAAAAACCCTCTGTACAACCTCCTTCAACCCTATCCTCCCCTCCTCCTGCCCATCCTCAAGCGTGAGCAACACACAAGCAGCCTTAACCCTCTTCATTGAAGCCTCAGGGTCCCAAATATACCGCCCAGAAACGTTCCACAACTCACCAACATCCGTAGTGAATTGCTTACCGCCAGAAAGTGAGAATTGATTACGCATGAGTATGTTGTCCCAGAGGTAAGCTTGGATTCCAGCGGCGAACTTGCGATATATCCGCTTGAAGACTAGTGGCGCGACAGTTTTAAAGAGGAAGGAGAGTAAAGTGTTTGTGGCATTTGCGGGCTGAACCATTTCTGGGGAGATAGTGCTTGGGGTTGAGGAGTCGGAGGTTACTGACGACCAGAGTGATCTGTTTGCTTGGGGTTAGTAGGGTAAACGCGGTGAGGAGTGGGGTGGGGTTGACATTTTAGAATAACCTCTTAATTCCTCTTTGATGCCTCCAATTAATAGGTCAATGATCATGTCTTCTGTTGTGGTCCGGAGGGCTTTGTAGGAGCCTGCAGTCTCATCGAATAGCGCACCATCCTCCTCTCTAGAGGCTACGGCACTACTTGTGAAGTTTGCGACCTCCTGGACATTCATGGTTCCCGCCAGGTTCTGAGTAGCGTTATTTCGTTGTGCTTTCCTGGCACGCTCTTGTAGCTCTTCCCATAACTCTAAGAAGAACTAGTCATTGATTAGCTTGGACATACTATGTTGTGCAAATTTGTAGACTTACGATATCTTCACCCCAATCCCTCATACAAGTCTCCATGAACATAGTGCTCCCGTAAACCTTACAAAGTCTCTCCAAGCCACTGATTCCAGTAAGAGACTGTACCTCTTCCTTGCTAGTCCCCTGCACCGCCCGGGCAATCGACGAGGAGAGCATCTTAAAAGCCTCGACACTGGAATAAAGTCGATCATGATACTGATCTAGAATGGAAATCTGTATATCGATCAAGAAACGAAGTCGCTGTGTAAACGACGTTAAGGGCCGGTACCGATCTATCCAAACTCAAAATCAACAAACAACCCCTCGGATAACACCCAGAAAGAGGAAGTATACCAGTCACAGTCTCCAACAAATCTCTTAACCGGATAGCCGACTTTGTAGGTTTCGTCTCCTTCGGCTCAACGCTTTCATAGTCAATAACCCAGGCATCTTCCGCATCTAGAATATTATGGTATCTCGACAGCGCAACTATAAAATCCCCCATCAGCTTAGCCCCCACAAGTGAATCGTGCAAATACTAACATTCCTTCTCAACTTTAATCCACCCCACAAACCCACCCTCGACAACCAATACCTCATGCGTAACGCCCTTCCACTCCCCATCCGCACATCCATACGGCACGTATCCAAACACCTCCCGAAGCTCCGAGTCAAACTTAATCATCTCATGAATGAAGTGACTAAGCAGCTGCGCCTGGTCAAGTATTTGCGGGAGCAAGTGATGTATCTTCCGTCTGAGCACAGGGAGCAAAGCGGTAACAAACTCATTAACCGCATCCCGCTGCGCAACCCTCAGATTCGCCGAGGATGCGAGTAAAGGCTGAATAACAGATAGCAAGAATGGAGTATACGTCGTGACTAGTGACGATAAATGCGCGAGGAACCACTCCGGTCTGTCAATCCTATTCGTTTGCCGGTCTCCCTCAAAATGATACCTAAACCTCAACTCTAGCGGCTTCACCAGCACCTCCATGGGTAGCAACGGGTTATCCCCGAGCCCAGTATCAATCTCTGGCTCTTGCAAGACAAGGAGCTTATTAAAGGCCTCCCCGAACCCTGGCGCGTTACTGACGTCCGTGGTCACTGTCGGCCAGCTAATCTTGCTCAGCACCTCTCCAAATTGTCCCACCAGACAACTCCTCATCTCATCCCACAGCAGTCCCGTAGTCTTCTCAATGTGGTCCACCAAATGCACCGCTGCACCCTCCATCTCTTCGTGCCGGGATTTTAGCTCCTTCGACAATCTTTGGAGCTCATTGTACGGCGCCAAGGCTAGCTTCGGATCCTTCTGTATCTCCTTCCTTGCTTCATCGGAGAGTTCGTGGACCTGGAGGATCAGAGAAACGTATCCTTTCGCTACGTCCAATCTGCGGAGTTTCTCCATGCTCGCCTCAAATTTTGCAGCGGCATCTTGGGCCGTGTCAGAGGATGTGGCTGCCCGCAGACGGCGGTCTATGTCGTCTTGATTCTGTTGGAATAGTTGCGCTTGGATCAGGAGGTTGTGGGAGTGCTCGGAGGCGGCGGTGCGGGCTTTTTCGGCGCGGGTTTCGGCAGATTGGAGCTTTTGGAATTCCGTAAGTTAGTTGGTTAGGGAGAGATGTTTTGGGTGGAGGATGGCTAGCTGCGAGTTTTTCGTCATACCTGTGTGCGAAGCTGTGATTGTTGGGTCTGGACGGCATTCAGGATCTCCTTAAGGCTTTCCAGATCACCAAGTGTTTGGAATTTGTCATTAAGGTAGTCCTCAACCCGAGCATCTCTATTTCGGGGGTCTTGCGAGATTGCGGTGGTAGATGTGGACATTATTGCGCCTGGTAGTGAGAACCTGGGGAACGCCTAATCACAACTATCAAGTGAACTAAGATCGATAAGATTAGATTGGATAAATTAGCAAGTCCGGGTAACCCCACGTCACCCAAGCTCAATTTTCACCCTTTTGGACAGTACGACTACTTATACTTCTCTCCTCCCAGCCCCGTGCTCCACCACCAAGCTCACTCGTTTCACTTCACTATCATACACACAAAATACAAATAGAAAATCTCCAATCATGTCTTCCATGCGCAATGCTGTCCAGGTAGCACCCTCTTTCCCCTCCCCATTTCACTCCTATACTAACCAACCATCCACAGCGGCGGAACCACAAAGAGCGCTCCCAACCTTCCTCCCGCCAAAAATACGGCCTCCTCGAGAAGAAGAAGGACTACGTCCTGCGAGCCCGCGACTTCAATACCAAGAAGGCCAAACTCAAGATCCTCCGGCAGAAGGCCACGCAACGCAACCCCGATGAATTCTACTTCGCAATGATCAACTCCCGCACGCGAGACGGCGGAATCCACGTCGCACCGCGGCAGGATGAGGGCCCTCTCAGCCATGACGTGGTTAAGTTGTTAAAGACTCAGGATGCGGGGTACGTGCGGTTGCAGAGTGCCGTGGAGAGGAAGAAGATTGAGAAGTTGGAGGAGAGGTTGGTGCTGAAAGATAAGGGTGGGGATGCGGGAGCGGGGGGGGTAGGGAAGCATGTGGTCTTCGTGGATGGGGAGGAGGAGGCGAGGGGGTTTCGGCCCGAGATTTATTTTGGAACTACAAAGGAGATGGTCGAGAGAAGGTTCAATAGAATGAGGAAGGAGCAGGTTGAGGAGATTGAGGCTAAAAAGAGGGCTGCCGAGGAGGGACTGCGAAAGAGGAGGAAGAGCGTCAGGAATATTGAGGCGGAGAAGGCAAGGAGAAAGGAGGAGGCGCTTGCTAAGAGGAAATTGCGGAAGGCGAGGGAGGGGGGGGGGCGGGAATTAGAAGCTCGCAAGCATCGAGAGGCTGAGTTGAAACAGGCTGAGCGAGAGATGGAATTACAGAGGGCTAGGATGGGTAAAGGTGGGATGGTGAAGAAGAACAAATGGGCAAGAGTCAGGAAGCGATAAACGCCCAAGCCCCGGCCACACCTCCCGTACCTACAGCGCCATCTTTCCTCGAACTTTCATGTATATTCCCCAGCCTTCTGTACAATCAATAATTCGCCTCAAAGGTTCAATCAATAAATTAGAAACTATTCCTAAAAATCAACCGACCAACACCTAAGCTCAACCTGTGTGGGGAAATACCCCCATTTAAAAGAAGATACCTCCCCAAAAAGTGAAGGAAAAAAAAAGGGTGGGAGGAAAGAAGGAAGTATAAAATAATAGAGAAGTCCGACCCCTTTTTTTCTTCTCACTTGGACAAGTTTCTCTGCACCGTCTCCCTAAGTTTCGCAATAACCTCCTTAGGACTCTGCGCCCCAAACACAGCCGTCCCCGCAACAATCACATTGGCACCGGCTTCCGCCGCCAGATCGATAGTTCCCAATCCCAACCCACCATCGACCTCGATATCCAACTCTGGATATCTCTTTCTGAGAGCCTCTACCTTAGGCATGCACTCGGGGCGGAACTTTTGTCCTCCGAAGCCCGGTTCTACTGTCATCACCAGCACCATCTACATAACTCAAATTAGCCCAAAGAAGGATAGACGTGTAGGGGAAAAGTGTGTGAGGAGAGGAAAGAAAAACGAACATCAGGCTTCTCCCCACTCCCGTCCAAAAGCGGATACAAAACATCAACCGGCGTACCAGGCTTGATCGCAACACCCGCCTTCAACCCCAAGGCGTGAATGTTCTCGATCAATTCGGCGGACGGGGTCTTGGGATCCTTCGAGATCTCCGCCGCTTCGTGATGGAAGCAGTAGAGATCGCACCCGGCATCTTTGAAGTCCTGGAGCCATTTCTGCGGCTACGCTCCGCATCCCCATTAGCACATCTTCGCCCGCGGCGAGGGAGGGAATATAGGATACCTCAGCAACCATCATGTGACAGTCGAAAACGCCCTTCGCCCAATCCTCACTCCTGTCCACACTGCGGCGGATGCAGGTCACCACGGGCGCGCCGATGGTGATGTTCGGAACGAAGTGCCCGTCCATTATGTCGATGTGTAGCCAGTCTGCACCTTCCGATTTGATGATCCGGGAACACTCGTGCGCGAGGTTGCCGAAGTCGGAGGCGAGGATTGAGGGGGCAATGATGGGTTTTGGCGCCATTTCTGGTTCTTTGGGAGGGGCGGTGGTGGTGGTGGCGGTGAATTGGGGTGGGAGTTGAAGTTGAAAGTTTGTGGTCGTGGTTGTGGTGGAGGTTGGTGGGGTTTTGGAAAATTGGTTTGGCGGGGTAGATTTGGCCAGGCATGGGCTTAATAAAATTTATTAGTCTACGGTATTCTGGTTACACGGCACCCTGCAGCAACAGAAGGAGACCAAAACAGAATTGCCATCTGCCAAGACAGGAACTCAAGTATCATACATACCGCTTCCCACTGTATCCGTGATTCCGTTAACCCGTAGACTACTCGTACAGTACAGTACTGTACACGCATCTCAGCCCAGCTCTATTGCTTACTTATCTGATCTTTGATTCTTAAAAACAACTTTTACCATCAGTATGATACCAATAGACTATGCTATCATACGATAGTCGGGGAAAACTAAAAAAAAAAAAAACAGCGACTAATACACGCAAGTCACTCGCACCCTCCGTCCAATCCAACCGTTTACCCTGGCAAATAATATCATATCATACAAATTCAATAGTGACAAAAGGTCGAGGGTCAAAAAATGCGAACCCTTATGCCATGTCCGTTCCGTAGAGGAAAGAAAAAAAAAAAAAAAAAATCATCACCGCTCGCTAGTCCGAAGAGAGAAGAATCTAATCGCTTTTGCTCTCTCTCTCTACTCCCTAGGTTTGGAGGGGGGGGAAGGGGGGGGGTCATCATGCCCATTTTAGATACAAGTATGATATCCATACTACGGAGGACATTTACAGTACGAGTCTATTTCGATTTATATAACAAGAGGAATTGAACAACCACATGTTCCTCCATACCCTACGCAAAATTACTACCTCTTTCTTCCTTCACGGAAACTTCTATCAATGAAAAAAAAAAAGAAAAAACGAAGTGAGAATAGAAACTCCTAAATGCCTTAGGGCCCTACTCCGTGAAATAGTTGATAACAGCTTCCCGAATCCCGAGGTTTAAGCTGTACTGGACCAGAGCACTCGTACATGATATGATACTAGTACAACAGAAAAAAAGACCCCAAGGCAAAGCCCGCTTAAGTAAATCACCCCTCACCTGTTACTTCAGCCCCCCATAGGCTCCAGATGAGCAATCCACTAGTACCGGTACTACCATTACAATGTCACGTTGTAAACACCTTACTTTTTTAAATCCCTTTATAAACCCGAATGGCTCTAGAGTTTTTTTCATTCCTTCCTACCCGCCTGCATTGCACTCTAGATCTCTATGTACTAGTGCTTGCACAGACACTCTCATAGGGTACCCGTCCAACGCTAAATCCTACTGTATACCCTGTACCCCCGAGGCACTAGGAAGTGAGGAAGAAATCCACAAAAAAATAACACAAACACCCAAAACTTGTGAAAATCCCCCCCCCCCAAAACGAAAAGCCTATGTGCATGCAATAATATAAGTACGAGAATGGAATGAATACAAACACCAACACGATACCCCCATTCTATCGAAAACAACTATTAACAAATATGGTCGCGGGAAGGACCCATCTCAACCCTCTTCTTTTTTGTCAGCTTAAATCCGTAACGACACCGGAAGCCAATGGATATGAACCAAGCAAAAAACTGCATGATCAGAATCTGCAGGGTTCTTCGAAGAGCCATCTGCCCTGTAGAGTGACAGCCCGGGTATCCGTCACAGACGCTGAATGCATAGAAACATCTTGTAAGCGACAAAACTCGATCACGTTATATGATCAAAATCATGGGGGAGGGGAATAACTTACTCAAGGAATTTGACAGGGTCATCAGTGCAAATCGCTATTTAATTGTTAGGTCGTAGTCCCGAAACGCGATCAAAAGGAGGGAGGAAGAAAAGAAAGGACAAATCTACCATCGATTTCATTATGAATCGCCCATCTAATAAATGGACCCCCAGCAAGTAAGCTCCAACTATACTCCTGCTAAAGGTAGCTTGGGGAAGGCTGGGGAAATTTTTATTGTATACCTCATAGTTTGCTCGTCGTTCACAGTCCACGCGTACATATCCCTTCCCGCCGCTCGGGCGTCTCTAGCGAACTTTGCGCCTTTCTTGCCAGAAAGGATTGCATAGAAAAGATTGAACGAAACGCCAGGATGTTTGAGAAACTCTCTTGCATAAGGAATTGAGAACCCAATGTGCTGGCCCCCCAAGCAAAAAAACCGTTAGCAATGCTTCAATAAGCCTTCTAGAAAAAAAAGAAGGATTTGGAGTTTTCGAGCGTACAGTAATTGGAAACCCTGGTAAGTAAAGATCACACAGCTGATATAATTTGTCAGCAAACCCGGATCCTAACATAGCTGAACCCAGTTCTGGGGAGAAAGCCCGCATACTGGTAAAAAATCCAGTGTCCAGCATCCAAGGACTATTCTGTTCGCCCAGAACTCTCGGCTTGGATTCACCGAACAGATTGCAGAAGCGGTCTCTCGGATGATGTCTTCGGCGTCATTGTCCAGCTTTATATCCAACAACAGCCACATACCCAGAACCGCCGGCTGGCACATAAATTCGAGAACCTCCTTCAGTGTCGGCATAGGAACGTGTGGAGCCTCTAATGTTCGCAGAGTCTTAAGATATGAATAGTCGTAATCAATGAGCTTTCCCTCCACGCCAAAACACCGTTTCAGGGTTGCATCCTTTAGTAACCATGTTAGTTGCCCGAACCCATACATCCTTTCTCATGATTCGGATCAAGACATACGTGAGATATCATGACCACACCATCTTTCGACAAATGCAGGTCTAAATTTCCACCACAAATCTTAGCAATTCCACCTCCCGTAGTTCAATTGCCAAAGCAAACCCACCAGTCTCAATAGCATGAGCCCCAGCCTTCACCGCCCCTTCAAAAGCCGTCAGCGTATTCTCGGGAAACTGAGCTCTAAACCTGTCCCCAACTCTCCCCGTCAGTCAATTGTACAAACAGTGAAACTCCTATGAAAAAGCCCAGTATTCACCCTCTATGAGCAACAGCTTGCGGGAACCTCAATGCTTCCGACCCGACATGCGTGATACCTAACCAGAAGTCAATGTCAACCACAAACCCTCACTACAAAAATTAGAGTAGGTAGGGCAAGGCAAAGCTAACCGAGATTCACCTTAGAACCCAGCAACGGCTCTTCGTGCTCTCTATAATTCATAACGGCAAATATAGGAACGGGAACTGGACGATAATTGGCGTGCTTAAACCACAACCACAGCTGTTACTAGCCAGCAGAATGATACGGGAAGACGGCCTGGATGTGCTCATGTAGCTTTATGTATCGAACCGTCCGGATATCTGTCCAATTTTTGATTTAAATGTGCGTACGCCCTAGGGATGAGGAAAAAGAAAGAACAGAAGAAAAGAAAATTTCGAAGGATGAACAAGAAAGAGCAGGTGACAGATTCGATATTATAAATTTCCCGGAGATTCGTTAGGCGCAAAGACAGTCAGACACAGCGGAGCAGGAACAAGCTTAACTTAACCAAGTAAAGAAGGAAGGGGCGGAAAGGGTGAAAGTATATATGACCCAGTGCAGTGGACTTGGGTTAGGGACCGGGATCAAACCGGACCGGACCAGAATGGGAGAGCGAGATGTGAGTTTGGTCTAATGGTCCACGGGAAACTAGGGGGGTGGTGGATTTGGTTTGGTCCTGGGAAAGGGGGGTGGGGCAGGGGGGGGAATTCTTGGTTTCGAAGAAGTAAAAAAACAAATAAAAGTGAACGTTTGGGAGGGGGAGGGGGAGGGGTAAGGTACTCGTACTCGAGTAGTACAGTAGAGCCTGAGGGGGGTATGATCGCTCCTCCTGTCTGTGCCGTACCAGTATCTGCCCACTTTCTTCCTCCAGGGAAGATATGGGTGCGTGTGGGGTGCGCAAGTGTAAGGACTTGAACTTGCTCGACCGATTCAGTGCCTGCTGCAGAGGTTGGGGGATAGAAGAGTATGCACTACCGGTAGTACAGTAGCTAGGTAGCTAGGTATCGGTAGCGTGGAAGTAGAGGTGGATGTGGTCGAGTTATAGAGTGGGCATTATGGAGTAAGTACCGCACTTTACGTGGGTAAGGTACAGTACTCAAGTAGGGAGATCAGTAACCAGAAGCTTGACACCGAAAGACACCCAGTGGCGGCGCCGGCGCGAAGTGCGCTGCGCGGAGTGGCAAAAGCCTCCTCCGACGGGGGGCTATAACCAATTGTAAAAAACGGGAAAGCAGGAGGGTTACAAGTGAAGCGTGTGATGATAGAGGCGAGAACACGGGTGTAACCGGGGTTAAACATCTCAAAAATACCGCCGGTGCTATACCTATGCCTAGGCCTAGATCCATACCGGTACTATAGGGTTACGGGGTGCAATAGGGACAGTTTTGTGGCAATTTTTGGTTTTTTTGAACCCTTTTAAGCCTTTCCGTCAGGGGACGTGGACGTCGGGAATGTATGGAGGATGAGGGATGGCAAGGAGAGGGAGCCGTTCACTCGCTATTCCCGGGGGTTGCGGCGCTCTCTGATTCGGCGTGCGTGTGATCTACCCTACCCCACAACGCATTCCGGGCGGCAGCCCGGGCTGGATGTCTTGCCCAATCCCTGGTTTCACCTTTAGAAAAGGCTTGTTCCTCCTCGAACCACATCAAACACTTCTGGTCTCCAATTACTATGACATTGTTACAACTGCCACACTCCCTCTCACGGAGAGCGAGGACGGGAAAGAGCAAGAGGGAAGCCATCCATCCAAGAGAGGCTTTACCCGCACCAGGCAAGAAGTACAAGTATATATCATACCCGTATGGCGAAAAATGCGTGGGTATCCGAGCGCCCATAAAAGCTCACCACCCCTGCTGCCGAATACTTCTTGCTTGGTATGATTAGGTCGGGTGTCGATGTGATGTATAATTTATGGGGAAGCTTCGGGGGGTTTGTAGTCGTCGTGCTTGCTGCGTGCAATTCCCCATTACCACTACGGTAGCTAGTAATAAGGTTGCGACTAGCTAGCCACGCTAGGAATAAGTAAGTTCAAGTAAGTTCAACAGAACTAATCACAACTCTGTTGTCACGATACTAGTACTGCACAGTACGAGTACAAGTACACCAAAGCTCACTCACCACAATAAACTATTCCACCCGCCCATTGATAGCGCACTATATCCACACTCCCACAAACTAAGCCCTCGCTAAGGAGAGAGATGCAAAGAAAGGAGATCCTGGTTGTCCCTCCCGTTGCTCACCACCCCCACCACCACCAAGAACCCACGGATTACCAAGCGGTCACCACATGGTTGGTATGGTACAGTACCGTAAACGAGAATTTCTCACCCGCCCTGCAAACCAGGTGAAGTTAGCATGTGAGTTGCAACATTGTATCGATCGTCCGGGAACACAGCGTAGGGCAAAGAAAGCCACAGCATTCCTTCCCACTCAAATGATACCGGTTACGACACTTCGCGCCGCACAAGGCAAATGCACGGGATGTGCTATAACCACAATCCTAAGCTCCGCATCCAACTGCATACAGTATGGCGGGCGTGTACCCACTCACTCAATGGGTTTAAGCGTTCGTCTATCTCGGGCACGGTGGTACAGTACAGTATCATGTACTCGTACCATAGCAAGCAGCTGGAAGTCCACATCCAGCCATCCATCCACCCACCGCCTCACGATAATCATGGTTGGTCGGTGGCGTGTTTCTCAACTTTGTGATAGGATGCTGTGTTCTGCAAATAATAGCTACTCGAGTATAGCCATGCAGTACTCGTGCTTCCGAGGTTAGATCAGGTCACGTGATTAAAGCAGGAAAGTATGGTGTTGAAGAGCAGCACTGCACTCCCGCCACGAGAATCAATTCAGCTTAACCATTATAGTTGTTCCCACCGCCTTTCTCAAAACTAAGTCTAAGATTACAATGAAAATTATCGTACCACCTATCTATAAGGTCTTGAGGAATGCGATACCATTCTTCAATCAGGATCTCCTTTGCTTTCTCGAGTACAACATAACTACTCCCTCTCAGATTGTCGTAATGTTGAGGCATTATATCTTTAATATACCTCCAGCCTCCACTCCTGTTCAGACATATTATAGTCTGGGGAATTCGGAGGAGCATTACACCGATGAACTCCATTCAAATCAGCCTCCTCTTGATCTATTCTTGTTGCCTTTGTATGATTTCCTGCATTGTCCTTGCATAACCATACTGGATTCCTTCCACTCTCCTCCTGTATGTGTCGAACGAATGGGTAAAGGTGTTTGTGAAGAACCTCTTTTCGATACAACCACCAATCCAGACCCCCTCCCTTGCTCCTCTCTGCAATCTCCTCCTTAAAAACCCACTCAGGACGTCGGGGCATTCATCGTAGCTCATTGGGTAAGTGATTCTGGTTGTAGTTGCGAATATCTGCATTGGTTGACTCAAGAAGCCGATACTCCTTGGTTCCAGGTACTCGAGCGTTCATTTGCATTTGTTCTTGGTGTTGTTGTTTTCGTTTGTTTTCCTCCTCAAGCTCCTGTGCGTGCTCCTTCCTCTCCCTTGAGCTTTCTTTTATCCAAATGTATGGCTCTCTAGGTATCCACAATTAAAGTGACCAGAGAGCATTAAGGTAAACTCAGGTCCGGAGTCGGTAGGAATTATAAAGTCATATGGATCAGACCCAACAGGTCTCCAGACATTGGGTTTGCCTCGAGGTGAGCCAATTTCAATCCATGTCTCATCTGTGAAGATGAAGTTTTCTTGTGGTTGAGTTAAAGCCCACTGAGCAAATTGAATTCGGGAGAGGATATCATTTTGACTGAGTTTTGGCTTGTGGCGTGGCTTGTATGCGGCAAAGTTGTAATGTTGATGAATATACTTATAGGGGGTCGAAGTAGCAATATCGAGGTTGGCAAGACGGGCAAGCTGAGTGGGATTCTTGCCAAAGTTCTCATGGTTAAGAGCAACCTCTTTCAATTTTTCAGACTTTTCTGATCCTTTAGGATACTTTTGAGGAGGACCTGAAGGATATACGGGCTCATCATGACTGACATCGTAGACCAGTGCGAAGAAATCTTCACCGACGCGTGCTTTAGAGCGCTGGATTATCTGGCGAGCACTCTCTGGATGGACGTTTAGGTGTGTAGAGATCTCATTCCATTGCATATGTGCAATAGAGTGGAGAGTCAGGATAGCAATACGCAATTCTTGGGATATTGAGGCACCTTTGGTCATTGTTTCACAATAGTTTGATGAGGACGGTTTCAAGTGGGTGAGGATGGTTTGGTGAGGTTTCTCAGAAATTGCCACCTCAATAACCCCCACTTATTATTGATGTTCTATCACGTGACCTGTTCTAACCTCGGAAGAACGAGTCCCCCATTCTCCCGATTCGAATCCTATCGAACGTGAAAAGGTTGAGCTTAAAAAGTGCCGCAACCGCATTAGCGGTACTACCCAAGGATTGGCGATAAGTTACCTCAGAAGGGAAAAGAAGCTGTGAAGAAGAGATTAGCTAGAATGGGTGCTTCCCTTTAGTTTGAGAGGTAATTCTGGAGATGGAGGTTTAAATTGTAAAAAACCAATGCTCAACAAAGTGGCTGCGGTTCCGGTTCTGGAGGGGAGTAGGAGGTTATATGCCAAGTATTAGATACCGGCTTCTATCTTCCTTATTCTTGTATTACTTAGTCTGCCTTTCGCCTTCTCTTTTAACCGCCCCCATTAACTATGGGGCCATTGACCGTTGGAAAGCGATAGTCCAATGAACCGCACTACCGGTATTCCACATTGACTGATTGTGCAGTCACAATTAAAAATGTTTCGGATCATATTGTACTTGTAAACGCTTCTTCCAGGTGCCTGTATTTTGTCTGTCGCGTTGCACAGTACTGCACATGCTCGAGTGTTTGGAGTGGCGAAGCGGTTTTAAGAATTGCTATTGTGTGCCGCTCAGATCCGAGAAAAAGGGCAAGACCCCGGTGGTATGCAAGAGCAGTCCTTTTTGAAAACTCTTCAACGTTACGACCATGGGAAAGGGCAAGACCCCGGTGGTATGCAAGAGCAGTCCTTTTTGAAAACTCTTCAACGTTACGACCATGGGAAAGGGCAGAAGGGAATGAAAGGAAGAGTCAGGAAAGTGTAGGTAGAGACAATATCGTCATTTCTTAGTGCTACACGTAGCGGCCTGGAGGTGTAAAACTAAAAGAAAACTTGCAATATCGCGACAACAATGCATCACCCTCAAAGGGTGGAAAAAAGAATAGACCAGTGGATATCAAACAGTCCATTTAGGGTCTCGAATTGAAATTTTTTATTGCATGTTGACGACACATCTGGATTATAGTCTTGGATTAGCGCTGCATAAGAACCAATTGGTAACAGATAACAGATGACAGGGGCTTGCTCACCTGATGCAGTCCCCCGCCTTCATCTGGTCGAATGCATTGTTTATTTGATCTAGAGGCTCACGGTGGGTGATAACTGGAAGGCGTTATTATAGGTGAGGTCAGTTGATCAGCTCTCGGAATCCAAAATCCCCCCCAATTCCAATTACCCCAGCTCTTAACGCCTAAGAAGTGCACTAGTGGTATTGCAGATTTCATAGAACTTCTGATTTCTTTCTTCAGAGCTCTCTGTTTAATTAGAACTCGACAAGCCACTGAAATAGACAGGGTATATCTGATTCTTTCAGTATGCCTCCTAGTGGACGCTATGGCGCAATAGGGCTCTGGGAGGAAGAGAAACTCGGCGAGCTTCCGCAGCCTTTAGGAAATCCACAATAAGGTTGGGATTTGTTTGCTTACACTCGTCCACTTTAAGTTTCCCTTCCATGTAGTCCTTAACTAGGTCGGGGAGCTGAGTACGGCCCTTAATCCCTCCAAAGGCACAACCCTTCCAGACACGCCCGGTGACCAGTTGAAATGCTGTTTTGGGTAACAAGTGTATATATGTGGTCAGCAAAAGTAAAACCAGCAGAAGGCCTCGGGCAGTGGCATCACCGAGACTCTGGGAGAGACCAACGCCTTGTAGAAATTTCCTGGCCGGCGGCGGCGACACCGATCACGATTGACTGACCCCAACCCTTGTGGCACGCCTCTAGGGCCGCCCTCATCACTTGAACATTTCCGGTGCAATCAAATGTGTAGTCCAGGCCTCCATCAGTCATCTCAATAAGCTTCTCCTGGATGGTCTGGTCGCCAATTTTCGATGGGTTGACAAAGTGGGTTGCCCCAAACTTCTTACCCCATTCTTCCTTTTTGGCGTTGACGTCCACGACAATAATTTGGCTGGCGCCGCACTTCACGGCGCCCTGGATCACCGAGAGACCAACACACCCCGCACCGAAAACAGCTACAGTGGAGCCCTTCTCTATCCCCGCAGTAACGACCGCAGCCCCGTACCCAGTTGTAATACCGCAGCCCAGGAGACAGGTCTTTTCCATAGAGACATCGTAGGTGATGGCAACAACTGAAATATCTGCGACCACGGTATACTGACTGAAGGTGGATGTCCCCATGAAATGCAAGAGGTCCTTGCCCTTGGCGCTGAATCGAGATGTCCCGTCAGGCATAACACCCCTCCCTTGGGTGGCACGAATTTTACCACACAGGTTGGTCTGCACACTCACTCATTAATTCAAATATTCCGTTGGCGGGAGGATTGTGAGCCAAAAACCACCTTTCCAGACCTGCAAAACTTGCATTCACGGCATTCGGGTGTATACAGCGCGACAACGTGATCTCCCACCTTCACATTAGTAACACCCTCACCAATCGACTCCACAATTCCGGCACCTTCGTGCCCGAGGACAATGGGAAAGGCGCCCTCAGGATCTTTGCCGGAGAGAGTGTACGCATCTGTGATATGCTGTCTCAGTCTCGTTGAAAGTGTGTGATGTCCGGCGAGGTAAGTCGTTACCGGTGTGACAAACTCCAGTGTAGTGGATTTTAATTCTGACCTCGTGCGCCCTAGGAGGCGCGACTTCAATTTCCTCTATGGAAAGTGGCTTGCCAGGCTCCCATGCGATAGCAGCTTTGCAGGTAATAGTCTATAATTGATTAGACAAGCCTAATTGTTGGGATGTAAAACTTCTTTTTTTTTTCCTTTTTTTTTCTACTGAGCAAACTTTGATTACTTACCTTGCCTTGAGTCGATGACATCGCTATTGTTGAACGGAGAGAAGATAGACGATCTAAACAATATTTAGTGACGATGGTGATGGGAACGAAGCGGGGATTTCAGGAAAATGAGATGGATTTGTTGCGTTGAGGTGAAACGAGGGGCAAGTTGGTGAAGGGGTAAATTATTAGGGTTGTGTGGCTGCTTCGGCTGGCCTGAGCTCTCTCACAGTTCCTAGCTCAGTGCCGGTATAATATGATGATCGACGAGCGATAACCACATCTTTGCAACGATACCGGTCTAAGCTAGACACTGGTTAACACAATTAATATAAGTGCTATTACCGTACTCGAGCAGAGTGATTTTTCTAGAGTCCCAATTCACTTGTTCAAAGGAAATTCCTTATGTTCAACATAGTCTAGTCCAGAGGCTTCTAAGCAATAGTCTACCGGTATCAGACTTTGCGAAAAAGTGGGTCTACGTCCCACACAATCTCAAAATCTTCTGAGGAAGGAAAAAATAAAAATCTTGCAGTACCAGCACAGCTCCCGAGCCCATTCCTCTACTCGAGTAGAGGAATGGCTTATTATCTGTCCCGACCAACTTAAAATATTCCTTCAACCAACCAAATTGGGATTCCACTACCGGTTATCATATTAAAAAAAAAAAAACCTGTCTTACACAATTTGCTTCAGTACATGACCTGGCAAACCATCAAATCCCTATACAACCGATCTAGCCATTGCAATTGTCTCCAGATTAAAGCATCATACTTTGAGGTTTCTCATGAAATGTTTGACATTTTTGATGAATCCTAGCCTGGGGAAGAGCTCCTTAAATCCTCACAAGTGTCTATTTCGCCGTATATGCTGCAACTTATTCCATTATACGATAATAATAATATTTAATTTAATTTATAAAGAATTGCATCACTCGACTTGGCGCTTTGCAGACCTCAATTTATTGGCCCGGAGATCACTGCCAGATTATGAGCTTCAATTTGGCAGCGCGAGTACTCATACGGGAGGGCAATAAAACCGCAAAATAGCCATTCACGAAAGCGAAGTGATATTGGTATTTTAGCTATGAAAGTCTAATCTCAAACATAACGCAAAAAGGTATCTACTATAGCAAACCAGACAAACACTAATTGCTTATAGCTTACCCGAGGAAAAAAGGAAACCTATAGAGCCCCTAGCAGATTGTCTGACCTCAATCCCGTCCTTTTGCTAACTTCAGCAACTCTTCGAACTCCCCGCTCTTGCGTGCTAGATTGTAGAGCATGCCCTCGGAGTTCTGCAGCAGATTGAATGGGGTATCAAACCTTCGCAAATTAGTCGGCAAACAAGCTCTTACAATTATAAATTTCAAAGGGGCTTACTCCACTATCTCCCCGCCATTCCCGAGATTGTCCAATACGATTATACGGTCGAAGGACATAACAGTGCCTGCTCGTGACGACAAGTTAGCATGGCAGGGAAGAAAAAAAAAACCCTCAAATATTATGACTCAATGCGGGAAACCTACGTAGCCTATGAGCGATTGTTATCAAGGTTGAATCGGGGAAACTTGTCCGTATGGTTTCTTGAATTCGCTCGTCACTTTTCAAACTTGTTAGCCAAGACGAGATACCATTCCAATCAAAAATCAAAAGTCTTACGTTTTCAAATCAGTCGAACTCGTTGCCTACTCCGAAAGTTAGTAGTTTGTATGAGATTCCGAGGAACCATCGGAAGCCGACTCAAGAGAGATGGCCCACAGGTGTGGTAGCTGCTTACCTCATCAAATATTACCAACTTCGACCTCCGAATGAGGGCTCTAGCAAATGCTAACAGTTGTCTCTGCCCTTGAGATAAGTTTCCACCACCGGACGTAATCTGGGTGTCAAGCCCAATTCGCTTGCTATTCGGAGCTGAGCCAGATTCGGTCTCTGTTGGGGTCGCAGTGCCCGAAGTGGCAGCGGATGCGATGCCGCTGTCAACTCCGTCCACATTGTCACCCGCCAACCCGCTTCCATCAAGGGCAGCCTGAAGCTCTGTATCATCCAGGCCACCGAAAGGGTCAAGGTTAGTCCGAATAGTGCCAGAGAATAGGATAGGGTCCTGCGGTATGATTGTAATGCGCTGTCGCAGAGCCTCGAGATTGATTTTCTGAACATCCAGTCCATTAATGATGATGCTACCATTAGATATTTCGGTGAAACGTAAAAGGCTAAGAGCCAAACTGCTCTTCCCAGCACCGGTCCTCCCAACGATACCCACCCTTTCACCCGACTTGATCTCGAAGCTAATCTTATTTAAGACTTCCGGGCCGTCCTCAGAATACTTTACTGATAGTTCGGTAACCTTGAGGTCACCCTGAGTGGGCCATGCAGCGGGAGGTTCAGCTTCAGGCCTTGATGAAGGCTCCTGCTTCATTTCGATATACTCCTTGGCACGTTCAAAGGAATTGAGCTCCACCTCGAGCAAATTGAAATACCTCACGGCAAGAAGGATAGAGGAGCTAAAAGCCAAAGCATTTGACATGCTAAATCCGATCATGCCGGGGGAAGAGCCCTTTGTCGTAAGAGCTATGATCCCAGCAGCAGCACCAATGATCGAGGTACAAGCACTAGTGCGGATTCCAATCCATCGGTTCAGATTATAATTGACCTCATTTCTGGATTCGTTAACATATAGGCTTAAGGCTCTTGAAGGAATTGTGCTTACGGCTGTGTGAAATCATCAATCTTCTTTATATTTTCCTTGCAAAAGCGCTCCTGACAAGAGAAAGCCCGAATCGTGACAATACCAGATATTGTGTCACCAAAGTGCGAAATCAAAGGGGACTCTTTGACAGAGATAATTCTCTTGACACCTATTTGGGCACGAACATAACTGAATCCTGTCAGAAACATGCTAACCCAGGACTAACGGGAAACGCACAGTTCACCACATGTAACCCCGATCAGGGAAACCAATATTGTAGGAAACAAAAAAGCTGGTAACAACCCAGTCATGACCCCCGCTCTAAAGACTATGTCGAGCAGCTGATCGAATACAATCTTTACGTATGCGCCCAAGCCATTATCGAGCGCGCTACTATTGTCAGCCAAGACCGCTGGAGGAGGAACCGAGAAGAACTTACGCGATGTCATTTGAGAGGCGATTGATTATTCTCCCAACAGGAGTAGTGTCGAAGAACCTTATCGGAGAGTACAATACTGCAGATACCAATTTCTCATGGATTCTCCTTGCCCCTACCCAGGCGAAGAAATACCAAACAGAATAGACCAAAGTGTTGCAAATTGATGTCCCAATCAACAAAGCTATTGGTCTCGGTCAGCGAATTTGCGTCGGTATAACTTATCGGACTACATCGCCTTTACCTGCATACATTGACTAATACTTGTTAGCGTTAAAGAAATGATTTGGAAAAAACTCAGGTTCTTACCAGCCACCACTTAACGTCAACTGGGCCCGGTTTGGAGTATTCATCTTGAGAAGTAGTTAGCTCACTTAACCCAATGATTCAATATAGTTTATCATCCTGATGAGAATTTATGTGTGATGGCAACCTACTAGACCAAAGTCCGATATAGAACGTATCAACTAAGCTTCGTATTGTTAGTTAATAAACTGCAATGAAGAATGCCCGGGAGACACTCACTCGACTACTTCATCCAACACACTGATGAGAGCCAAGACAACTGTGATAATCAATGGCCCGAAATACTTGAGATATTCAAACACCAACTTTTTTGGCACTCTTCCCTTGTTGCGAGCCTCTTCTGCAACGAGCATTCCGGAACCCTTCGGCTTCGCTTTTGGCGCCACCGTTTCTATCGGCTGTTCGACTGGCTCGCCTGGTACGACATCTCTTGCTGCTATATCAGCTTCTTCAGTTTCTCTCAAGAGTTCAATTGCATCATCAGAAAGTGCTTCTGGACTGCTATCCGAAACCACCCGACCATTGGCAAGCACAATAATTTTCTTGGCGGCCGGTGAAACAAGTGATACACTAAGGACCCGTTAGCTCAAGGCTCTGCAATGGTGTCCATTTGGCACATACTGGTGTGTGACTAGAACTACGGTCCTGCCAGCCAATACTTCGCCCTTGATACATTTTTCAAAGACCAATCTGCTGGTGCCAGCGTCCAACGCGGAAAGCACATCGTCAAGGAGAACGGTTTGTGCGGGTGAATAAACAGCCTAAACACATTAGCAGAATCCCTCGGATCATAGTAGGCAATTGAGCAAACATACCCTTGCTAATGCCAATCGTGCCTTTTGACCTCCGGATAAGGTGACTAGAGAGATCAGCATTACCCTTAGACGAACCCACGCCCATCAAGTTTCTTACCTCCTTGCTCACCGACCTAGGCTAGGGTGTTAGCGGATATGGATAAATCTTTATGGCCACGGATTGTATAAATACTTCTGTAAGGTCGCCCGCGTCAAATTTCTCTATGTCCTCTGTTAGGCCACATGCCTCGAGAACAGCATTGTACCTCCTCTCCTCATATGGACTACCGAACAATATATTATCCTTGATGGTTAATGACTGCAACCAAGCTGTTTGAGCAACGTAGGCGACCCCATCACCACGAGGCAAAAACCTTTCACCACTCAAAAGCCGCATCTCCTCCAAAAGCCCGAGCAGGAATGAACTCTTTCCGGAGCCCACGGGGCCCGCGATGACAGTTAGCCCGCCATACACACACTCGACGTCAATACCAGCAAGTCTAAAGCCGTCATCCGTTCCTGATCCAGGCGTGGACCAGGAAAGTGTCGCATCCTTGAGATATGGTCCAATTTCTCTCTTTGCCGTGTCTTCGGTTTGCTCTGCCCTTTCGAGCTCCTCTTCTTCGATCAAGAACTTGTCGAGACGATCGAAGGCAATGAAGGCTGAGATCAATGATCGAGTGACGTGAGACACCCATGCTAGCAACTATCAGTGAAGCTCTCTCAAATTAAAAACTAAGGTTGGCATACAGAACTGATTGCTAAGGATCTCAAACAAGCTAGAATCTCATTCAATTAGAAAGTGTCCCCTCAACACATATAACCACACTAAATTTTAGGAGAGTCAAACCTTATTGAGGTAAATGCAATACTAGGGGTCAACGGCTGTTTCATAACCTCCGTATAGATCCCAAATGTAACGATCTAACCCAGTCAAAACATACTTCAAAGTGTCCATTTAGCCAATAGTTAATACATACCATATTGATGATTGGCAGCAGGTGCGAAACAGTATAAAATCCCAAAGAATAAACCATTGAGAGGAAAGAAAGCCGTAACTCATTCTCTCTCTTCTCGCGGATTCGCGATAGGAAAACTTTCTCCATACCAAAGAATTTGATAATCCGAACAGAGTTGAGCGTCTCGGTCATCGTTTCTATCCTAGCATCGCTAGCCAGCCGAGACCTTCTCTGGACCTTAGCGAGTAGTTTCGCAAGCATTCCAGGTATGATCATTGTAATGATCATCATAGCCACACCAACTAAACTAGACCATCCTAGAAGTCCATAGAGAAAAATCACGGAGAATAATACCTCAATTGGTACACCTCCAAAGACAAGGAAGAAGTCACTACAAAAATGCAGTATATCAGCAATAGCTTCCTCCAAGCTAGGACATGGGGAAACAGACCGGGCAGAGGATAGCTCAGCCAGATCAGAACTCATAAGATTGTTGATCCTCCCAACCCTCGATTTCTTATGGTCTTCCTCAGTTTCAGTTTCGTCTTTCTTTCCCTTATCTTTCTTGGTTCCCTTATCTTTCTTGGTGGCGTCTTGCCTTTCTTCCTTGCTGACCGAATCGGCGGTAAATCTGATTTTCAGAGTCTTTTCGAGCAGCGATTGAGTGAGAGCTGCCTTAACACGAATACCCACACTAAGGGTTTTCAGCAAACTACCTCCCAATTCAACAGGAAATCAAGTTAATACCGATTGGACTGAAAGACATAAGCTTCCCATGCTACACCGCCAAGGAGAGGCCCAAGAAACATCCCCACGACAAAAATCCAAGGGGTGACAATAGGTTGGGACGACCCCTCAATATATGCCAAAAGATGTTTCATGGAAAGAGGCCAGATAAACTATGTATGGATTCTCAGTAAATTATCTTATTTTCCGATAGTAAAATTATCACACCTGCGTAGCACCTATAAGGAAACTAAAGAGTGTCATGAGCGATAACTCATATTTCATGAGTGACAGCAAAGTCCAGAAAGTTGTAGACCGTTGATGATTGACTATCATTTTGCTCCACAATTTCCCACGATCATAGTCGGGAATCGGTGGCAAGTCTTCTACTTCAACATCCCTGCGATAGGCAACCCGTATAGTGCTCTCTGTCCAATAGTAACTTATAGCATAACTGAAAGGCGACGCAATCTATCACTTCCTATTAGAGCTCACGACAACCCACACAATATGCTCAACTTTCATACCTGTTCGGGAGTGGGTTCACCGCCTGCTGAAGGATCTACCGGATACCATACTCGGGGCGTAGCCAAAGACAAGATGCCGATAGCCAGTGTCAACCCGAGTCGAGCATATACCGCCCACCCAGTGCGAACATCAATAAGTCTCTCACGTGATGGATGTAAAAGCAATTTGGGCAATAAATCACGTTCCATGATTAGCAGCAACGGTACAAGAATCCCCACGGATGTCAGGGTTTGTAATGTCGGCCTATAAGGGTTAGGGTAGAACCGGTAAAGAAAGAGGGCAGACAGGAATGTCCAGTAAACAAGCTCAGCGACTAAATCCTCACATCTATAAGCACATGACCCTAAAGTAACACCTAGCAAACCATGGACCTACCCTCGTCGGTTATAATCTCGCGCCGTAGACATCGCAGGATCAGCAAAGTTGCATTGACAGATACGAGACTACTATAGCATAAAGCTTGGATCCATGCCAAGGTAAGACGGGTACCTAGACACTGTGTTAACTCCAACCCTCACAATCGGATGAACCATAGACCTCTTTTTAAGCCTAACCTCTCAATTCTTCAATGGGAGCCTTCGGTAGCTCGTCCGCATCATAAAGTTCCAGGAATAGTTTCCGATTGACGATGTTGTAGGATCTATAATCAGCAGGTGGAAAGAAAGGGTCGCCACTTAGAAATCTTCGCAGTAGCAAAAACGAGACAGCCAGAACGATGGTGACTCCATAGATGCCTAGTCGAGCGGTGCTTCCTAGACCCCTTCAATAAGCATATGGTCGTTAGCGAATTAATCAAAGATAGCGCTATAGAGTAGATTAATCATTAGATTCGGTCGCACCAGGTATTAAAGTTGATAGAAGCCGGAGAAGCGAAATGAGGCTGTTTGGAAAGCGAGGAGGAGCTCGTCCAAGTGGAAAAGAAGGGATCCATCGATTCCGCTAGACGAACCGAAGCCCAGATACCAGGTACCGTAAGAGGACAGTCAGATTACCAGCCAGGAGGAAGGCAAGAGAGAGGTGTTAAGGTGTTGTTTGAAAAGATAGGAAATGAAGGGGCCTCCTGGTTGTTATCCTTAGGGCCTACTCGAGTAGAGGGGATACCGGTCGTCGAAGATGTGCTGATTGAAAGAGAGCACCTGGGGCGTCGGAAGGGTGTGCGCCGTTGCGCGGTCGATAGGATCTGAAAGTTGCCGGCAACGCAGTGTTCTCTCGGCTTGCTTACAACATGCTTCTCCAGGGATACTCGAGTAGGATAAGACACCACCATGTTGCCGGAATTTTATCCTTGGAGAGAGGGCTGTGATGACGCTCCGTTGTAGTGTGGCTGCCATTCCAGAGTCAGGAACGGCACCACCATACCATTAGACTACAATATCACCGTCACCGTCATCACTAATATAGTGGGCTATTGCAGTTGGCCCTGTGTTGCCCGTTCAGTCTCGTAGAAGATGTTGATGATACGACAGATCGAAAGTAAAAATTTAATAAAAGCGAGACAGAAAGCAGGGCTTAAAAAAATGATCGGAAAAAAGCTGGTATGATTTTTGTATCAAGGGTCCTAGTCCTATCCCCATCTACGCTCCCACGTTTTTTAAAGCTTTCCACCAGATACCCATCAAGGTGCATGGCCATTAGGTAATTTGGCCCGCCCAACGCACGAATTGGCTGTTCAATTCGGACAAGTTATCATTACTCGAGTACCTGCATGGCATTGCATTTAAAACCACTTTACCGGCGAGGGTGCCTCCACAGACAGGACTGCATGATACCGTTAAAGAAACAATATCATGTCGGTACCTTAGTGGACCCTTCCCGAAGCTAAATGTTAACTCTGCACGGGGGCCCGGGAAGCGCCTGCCCGAACTACCGAGTTGACTCGATTTTTCGCACACAGGTACTGCAAACCGGCACGGTGTGCCTAAGGAATAGTTTGGCACAGGCGCGGCATCACGGTGGACGTCAATTGTCATTGACTATTCGGGTACAGAGGCCCAATTAATAAAATTCACAGTCACATCTCCGCTTCTAGAGTCCTAGAGCAGATATTTTTCCTGGGGAGCCAGACTGCAATAAAACCATTGCGGTATGATATAACCCCATAGTTTACTGACCCCCTGTAACCTTACTAGCTAGAGCTGGATTGTCCTCTTGTGCTTATCATGCTCACTAGGTTGAATGGATGAGTGGAGAGCACAGTAAGAAATTCTGGGGCTGGAAGGACGGCAGAGTCATTTGGCACCTATCAGTATTTATTTTTATTCGTGTATGATAGCCCGATAAGTTTCTCGTTTCGGGGCATGCACGGACACAATTTGCATGATATTGAGTGGCGACCAGAGATTTTGGGATTTTTTCGAATATCATAGAAGAAAAAAAGATGAGTTGCCAAATGACTCCAACCACTGGGACCTCTGATGATCACCTGTCAGCTGCTATGACTACATAACTAACCCTCAAAGGCTGACGATAAAAAAGGTTTGGGCCAGTAATTTACCGTAATCTAGTGAAACTCGTTTTCCCGCTGAAAAGAGGTCAAAATAAAGTGTAGCTTAGTGTTTTTCACAAAGCAGCACTTCTTAGCATGATAGTTCCTATCATACCGTAGTACGGTACCATACGGAATTCCCTTTCAATACTCGAAAGTCTCGGAAATGACGCCTTGTGGCAAATATTTGTTAAAATCCTACCTCCAAAGGCTACTCTCTACTCGTACTCAAACGAACCTACATGTTGAGTCAAACTTTCTTTTGACCTCTAAGCTGGTTAGTCTAAGCAATATTAAAAATTTAAAAAGCCTTGGCGGTCCGAACAAAGTTGGAGAAAAACCCCTCGCCAGACAAAACTTGATGGTAGTCATTGACTGTCATACATACCGTATCGCATCATATACCGTAATTATCATACCAGATATCATTAAATAAAAAAATAAAAAATAGGGTAAAACTCTGTCTCGGAGACGATCCCAGGCCTGAAATCCAGAGATCTTCACTAGATCAGGTTAAAACATGGCCCTATTACGTTTTCAACCACGCTCAGACTACTCGAGTACCGGTATCAAGAGTTGTAGAGTCGCAGTAACTTCCAGTGTTGGCCACATAAAAGTTCATAGGAACCCAACTACCCAGGCAGCAATCATGGAGGGGGAATCACGATAAAACCCCCGCTTAACCCCCATCCTCTCTCAATCCATGCACTAATATATATAAAAGCCTAGATTCCTCATCGTTAGTTAGAAAACCCATATAAAATCTCAAAGACCCCGGCAGCCGTGCTAGATTTCCACTAGCCAAGAATAGAATCATATTCGCACAAGGCACCGCGGGTACTGTACGGCACTCATACACTTGGTCTTTGGAAAACGCGGGATCCCATTCCTAGTAATCAGGAGTTAAGACATGAGAGGGCCAGCGTGAGATTTCTTATTAAATCCAAGTCATAACACATTATAAGAAAGACATCATCAGTAAGCCCCATAATCGTACAACATCCTCTTGCTCTCACGATTTCTCTGCACCTTTTTCCGGCGGGGGGTTGAGATAATCTGCACTCTCCGCAGCTTCGTATTCGGCTATTAGATCCGCCACCGTCGCCCTAATTTGTTATTCAAAGGCTAAATCTTGTTGTGTATGTGCATGCTTGAACTCACCTTGCTTCGTCAAACGCTCCGAGGTCATTGGCAAATATTGGTTCCTTCTTGTACTGTTCCAAGAATGCATTTCGCTTTCGAAGGCGATCGTATTGTCCCAAGATTCGTTTAAACAACTACGGAAAAAATGGTTAATCGTCAGTTGGGGTTTGAGACCAAAGAGAAGGCCTTCTACGTACAGTTGCAATACTTGTGTGATTCGCAAGCATAAGTCCGCTAACACGATGGGACATTGGCATGTGAGGTGACTTCTTAGTCAAAGCGACCTGGATGCTTGCAGGGCCCCATGGAATAAAGGTTGCTAGTCGACGCTCACGGATTCTGAGGAGCGATTTATGAACCTACGTCATACATGGGTCAGACCTCGAGGCCTACCAACGAGCTAGTGGAACTTACATCTGTCGGATCGGCCTCTCCCTGAATGATATTCAGAATGGAAATGTAACAGCTGTTCTTAGTGGTGTTTGTCATAACCATGCGGTTTTTGGGCTGTAGGAGTCGGCGCATAACATCAAGAACCGTGGTTTTCCGGACCGTTTTCGCCTGGTCCACAATATCACTTGTAAAGGGAGTATAAGAAGTCATCAAGAAATGACACCGGGGTGTTGGGATCAGTGAAGCAATGATTCCGACGAGATCGTTGTGCATATATCCCGGGTATCTGAGTGTAGTTGTGCTAGCCGACATCACAGTCGACACCTCCACGCGGTCAGCAAACGTATATTAAACCCCTAGGAGTACAAACCAGTTGATTCGTCTGCGCAAAAGACGGCTGTTGAACATGTAATCTATCCGCAGCAATACGCGTCAACGCACCATTATCCAAGACAACCTAAGAACAAAAGTCAATGCGACTAGTACAAACACAGGAATATTGTTTGAGAAACGTACGACGGAGTCGGCATTTTCAGTAAGCCGCCGCATGGCGAGAATACTGTTGTACGGCTGAACAACGACGTCTCCCACGCTCTGCGTATCCGGGAACACCGAATAAGTCTGTATAATCTTCTTCGGAAACCTGTCGTTGAGCCTTTCCAGTAGGAACGATCCAAGACCCGACCCTGTACCCCCGGCGATAGAATGCAAGAGCATGAATCCCTATATTTTCCCATGATTAGTCTGAGATTCCCGGAGCTAAGCCAAGGCCTCATATACCTCCAGAGAATCGCTACCGTCTGCCTCACGTTCAATCATCTCCATAACTTCCTCGTACACCGTCTCACCGGCGGAGAAACCTGCTGCCCAGTTGTTCCCAGCACCACTGCCATGTTTCGGAACGTGAAAATTTTCCGGATTGTAAATGTTTTTATATGGGCCCGTTTGGATTCCGTGGATGACCTAAGCCCCCGTCAGCCTTAGGCCTCTACTTAATTCCCACGAGCTAAACACATACCCTAGGTTCGAGATCTAGTAGGATTGCGCGTGGAATGTATCGCGTATCGTCGGATTGGTAAAAGAAAACCTAGTAGCCATCAGCTCAGACCCGCAAGCTCCCAGGGCAATTGGCGAACAAACATCCTTTCGATCCGTTCCTTCTTCGACAGCCTCGAGGTTACCGTCAGGTGAGATTCCATGCTCTTGACCTGTACGCTGTCAGACATGACGGAAGCTTGACAGCAAGATACTTACAGAGTGTTTGCCAAAAGGAAGACCCTACGGCATTCCCACACTGGCCTGCCTGAATACTAATGATTTCTCTGGGCATCGTGAAGTATTGCTTGAATCCGGAGAGGAAGCGCGCGGAGAAAGTAAAAGTTGGCGCAGAGGCTCTGAGGTTGGCGAGGGGTATGATATGATACCAGGTTGTTTTTCACCCCACACCTTAAATCTGCCAAGAAACCCTAAATTCACTTCGAATGACTTGGTACCATTATCAGGTGAGCCTGTTCACGGACTCACCCACTCTTTAGCACGCGGCGGGAAACACATTGAATAAAACCCCATGGGAACAAAAGTATCACGAAAGTAATCATTTGTTGTGGCTGTCTTCTAGCTAAAGGGGGTGGTATCTAGATCATCTAGGTAGTTACAGGTATGGCCTACAAAACTAACTAGCTCTCCGATATCAAAATCAGTGCTTCGCGATCAGTAAGGTAAAAAAAAAGATACTTCCACGGTTTTTAGAAAAAATCGAGACACGCTATTCCCCGGTAAGTTTGAATAGACCTTCCAAGAGAATGTCGCGCTTGATCTCAGGGGTCAAGAGTCTTGGGGAAATGTCAGTGATTGCGAGGAGTGCCCAAGCTTCGAGCATCCTAGTCTCAACCAACTTAGATAGATCATTCAATCTTCCCTTGTGACTACCCGGAGTAACCCTATTTTCAAGACGTTTCAAGGAACGATAGTTAGTTGGACCTGAAAGATGGAATCTCAACCCGAAGCAAGCCCTAGTGATCATGCCACAAAATTTGTAATCCTTGTTCGCACGTTCCCGGTGTTCTTGGATCGTAGTAAGTAGGATCTTGTACTTTTCTAAATCGATCGATTTATACAAGATACCGGTGTGGTTAGGGACGGCCTCGAGACCCGGTTTTTCGCCCTCACCAAATGACCCGAAATTGCTTAGCAAGACATCCTTATGAACCAAGTTGGAGGACATAATTGGAGGACGATGGGTGTGATCTTTCTCGTCATAGAGTTTAGTGACTAACTTTAAGAAGTCGGCTGGACCCAACAGATATTAGTAAACCCAAGCACTAAACACCACTGATAAAAACTCACGATAATAAGGTACGACAGGCCCTCTAACAACTCGGGGGGGGAGTCCACCCTCCATAAAGGTCCTGATAACCTCGAAGCGCGCTTGGTGGGCTTTGCCAACAAGCTGAAGGTGAGATATCAGCATGTGCTCGATGAAAGTCTTTTTTTCTCATGTACTCACATCCCAACTACGTCCCAAGGATCTTATAAGAGGCGTAGTTAAGGCTTCGCCAATGCATTGAGCGCTATTAAGGGAAAATTTCCTAAGAAGACTCTCTGTGGTGTCTATAAAGATTTCAATCATCTTGGCTCTCTCTTCGACTGTCTCCAGTTGAACAATTTCGAGCCTAGTCCAATGGGTAATCTGCGCTGTTTTTAGAACTAATTCAAAAACGAAAAAGATATCACCAGTATTTCGGTCTGTCACTGACCATCTCAGCACGAACTAGCTGTCGTTGCACCCTTTCAACTGCCCACCACCAATGCGCATCTTTCTCGACGGGCCAAAGATCGTTGTAATGATATCTCGGCTTTAATTCATCTTCTTTTTCTTTCCACCATTCGTCTAAAGTGCTCACTTCAGACGCATCGCGGAAGAGTAGCAAATCCTAAGGTAATCTTCATTAGCCCACCGTTCCACCAACAGGAGGACACCACAAACCATAATAGCAAGATATTTGGCTAAATCCTCGTAATCTATTCCAGTCAAGCCCTTCGCACAGAGCTCTGGTGTAACGTGCCTACGGTAAGCGAATATGAGGTCACGGAATGGAACCCAGCCCTCCTTCTGCGAGTGAGCAAATTTCACATACTCGGTGTAGTCCCGTTGATGTTCCGCGCAACTATCCGCTAGTAGTTTTGCTGCCACCGTGTTCCCGGTCATCTTCAGGGCTTCGAAGATAGCGTATCTGGCACTTCCCGCTTGTTCAGTAAAGAAATCCTCGGGTTTTTCCTTCTGCCAATAAGTGATAAACCGGCAGATACTTGTAAGATAGATTGTTAGGTAAATTCAATTGACCCCTATTATAAGAAAGGGTATCGTGTGTACTTGAGCTGCCTATCTGGCTTTCCTTTTGAGACAACAATTTGGCGGGTAAGCTCGTTCAAGAGTGGGATACGCCCGACGAAGACCGAGCCACAGAAAACCATAATTTTCATGAAAGATTCGCAATCTATGAGTCTCTTTGGGTCAAAGAAAATCAATGTTACGTTAAGAGCTAGGAGGACGTACCTTCTAGGCAGAAGTTTGGATGCCCAATTTCAGCGACAAAACATTGCAGATTGCCAGCAACGATGCGAGCAATCCCGTCAATATTTTCAAGAGTCAAATATTCGGATCCTTGCAAGCCATACACATGAAGGACCTCCCCTGCAAGAGGGAGACAAGATTTGGCATTGGAATCCTCGAAATAAGTAAAAACACCATGGCTGCACTCATTTATCTCAGCAGAATCTTCCTCAAACAATTAGCCAAGTCCGTGATATCTCGTTAAATCAATCTTAGGTGGCGCTAACCTATGGTAGGGCCCTTCTTTTCCAGGGCTTCCCGAGGCCCCCCAGGATTAAGCTTGGTCGGAGAGGAGTTTATCCCTTTAAACCCCTTTGAAAGACTAGCCCGAAGCCTACTGAAAAAGTCGTAAATTCAAACTCTTGGAAAGTGGCTTAACCTACCTGCAACCCTCTTTCAGAATTGGATCATAACTTACATTTTCTGGAGATCTGCCTGGCCCCCATCATCACTAGATGAGGACCAACGACTCACCGGTTCTGGCACACCCCAAGGTTGGATGGGCCGGGCTTGGGCACTAATACCTTCCCCCCCATCCGTCTCATCTTTCGGGGAATGTTGAGTTATCTCGAGGGAATCAGTCTTACCAAAACTAAAGGCTTGCCCCTCAAGCTGAATGGCTTGGCTGTGGCTAGATGCGTTGACAGAGCTAGGTTGCCGGAGCAAATTCCCAAAGGCCTCGCTCATAGCGCTGACCGTATCACTTTGCTCCCAGTCCTCCGGCCTGCGAGGTCCAAGGAGTGAATTGCAAATAACGAGCCCTGGGAGCACCAAACCGATGCGGGCATCTGGCTCTATCGAATCTCTGAGCTAACAGCGCTACTCATTAAATGATTAAAGTGCATACTCACCACTCTTCTTAACTGCTTTCAAGGCGCTACGAGAAAAATGCCACCGGTTTCCTTCTGCCATTGTTTGAATCTTTCTCCACAAGCCACCTGTCTTCCCAGTCATTGTATCTTGTTGCATCGAAGTAGGTGGCGTAAGAATGTTAGAAATTTGGGTGACCCCGAACCCCTTCATCTCTGGTAAAAGTTTGCTCATGTCGGAGAGTTGATGAAGAGAGCGATTGGGATGTGGGGAGCTTGGATCTAGGAGACGACGGGTAGTGGGTGACGGCAGTTCTAGCGCCTAAGCAAATTCCCCAGGGATATCATCAAGGGATTCACTGGGAGCTACCGTGGTGATCTTTTTCGGGGCCAGCCGTGCGCGAGAGGATGGAACAAGTGTTACCTTGCTAAAAATGAGCTTGATGGTTTATAACGCTGAGCTCTGTGCCTAGGTTTTCACGGGCATCCAAGTTAGACGTCTGTGTGGGAGGAAACTTAGCAATTTTTTCTGAACTAGCATCACAAGCGTTGCGTAGAGTTGAGGTCGTCTACTATATACCAGTGCGTCGGAGCAATAAAATTTAATGTTAGTTATATATCAATGATTTGGGGGATTATAACGCCAGAACAAAAAATAGAGCTAAGTAGATAATGGTACGGAAGATATGTCAGACTCGCCCAATATTATTATTATTATTGCTCGTCCCCGGTCTTTACGTCTCCTTCTCCCTCGGGGCCCCCTTCAGGCAAGCTACATCTTCTGAGAATAGCACCTACCATTTTCAAAGTGGGAAATAGTACAATATGGGTGAGAGCTAGGCCCAAAGTCAAGTGGATGAGAGTAAACGGAAGGAGAACCAAGGAAGGGGACACCATATAAAGCGAGTATCAAAAGAAGTGCGTATGTAACCCCAGTATAGGACTCCTCTTACGCGGCTTGCACACGTATCATAGTTTGCCGGTAGTACACCAACAGAGCCCATATATTCTCGAGCTCTAATTTCCTTCTCTAAATGCATTATTCGGCCCAAGATACCAGATATTGACAAATTAATTTGTCCTAGGTAAAGGTGTTCATTGCTGGTCACTCGGTTGTTTCCATAGCGTATCACAAGGACTACAATCCCCAACAGGCCGTTAACGAATGCCAGGCTATGACGAACGGGGGTGTGATTCTAGTAGGCAAAAAAAGTGAACCCGCCAAAGTAGGGTAACTAACAACAAAAAATATATCGTAGTATGATACCTGTCGCTGGCCCCTGCTCGTTACGGCCTGGTATTCGTGACGGCCTCGCTAGTGACTCTTATAACCTGAACCAATCTCCTATAGGTTTCGTGACGAAGAACCGACGAAATAGATACTTTTCAGGTAATTCGAATCCTCAAAGACAGGTTTCAGCTCCCTCCACGATTTCTTCGTTTGTTGTTCTCTGAGAAGAGGAATGAGAGGGAAGCGAAAAGGTTTACTGCGATAGGAGATTTCTCGAGCATGCAGGGTGCCGTACACTTGCATTGAAACTCGGTCGAGTGATAGTGGATTTACCACACCAATTTATCAAGTGCAGTAATAAGCATGCAAGTGAGCTCTCACACCATTATTACCGGTATTGCGGTACCAAGTACAGTACTTGTACGGTGCAGCGGAGCAAAAACGAAAGCTTGAACTTTTGCGGAGTACGGTACTCAGGAGTTCCGAAAATTCCACCAAAGCAAAATGTGTTACAATGTATCGTTGGTTATGGCTTCCCGTAGCATGATTACACACGAGTTAGGTAAGTCCAAGCTAATACCTCTCTGCCTTGGGTAAAGTCACGCGCAAGCACCTTAGTACCGGTAGGGGCTACACCGAGCAACCCTACCGAATATGCTGCCCGCCGCGAGGGTCTTTGTGTATCGTTCGCCGCCCCCCCCCCTCCTCCTATGTTGGCAAAATTTAATGTCTAAGAAATCAGCCCGGGTGCGTGTGATACTGGTAGTTTTCGAGCTGACTTGCGAGACCCACCCAGCGTCCATGCATCTCTCGCAACCCACGAAAGCGACCTCTTCGCTGCTTAGCGTTAGTTTTCTCATAATATTTCCTCCCCGTCTCTCAGCACGGAAAAAGTTTCACTCCAACCTTCTACCGTACCGGCTCGGTAATCGTACTTGATCGATCTGGAGGAGAATTTTAAACCTTGCAGGAGCGCGCTACTACCCGGACAGAAGCCTTCCTTAATGAATTTCTTTTAAAAAAAAAACACAAAAAAGAAAATACCAAGCCAAGCTCAGTCCACTGACACCATTTTTACCTTCTTCCGGTTTGCTGCCTACTTTTAGCGAGCTCGGCCCCCGCATGAAAGCGTCCAGGAGACTGGTGGAGAGCTAGGCTGAAGACAATAAAAGCAGATACTGTGCAGTGTTTGTGTGGTATATATGTGGCAATCACGCAACTTCCTACTCACCTGTTGCCATACCGACCTTGCTTGCTAACATCATACACGCACATTCTAGTGACATAGCTTCCCCACAAAATGGCAGACTCCATCCATCCAGAACCGGAATATAAGAGGACTTCTCCACGTTTGCTGCCCCGATTGCGTTCGTGCACGGCTCCGCCTCTGTCCGAAAATCCGGGGCCCTCACCGCAGAAACAAACTGGTTTAGCTCCTGATATGCCGCGACGGAGACCTTTGGGACGTGATTCGGATTTGCCCAGCCAAGCGGAAGAGAGCTCTGCTGACGAGAGGACAGCGATTGCTGCATCTGGCCGGACTAGGAGCTACGATGCAACTACCGGTGGTACTCGGAGAGCTTCTGCTCAGGAACCCCCTACTCAAGAAATCTCGCCCGATAAGAAACAGTGGATGGGGTTTGGTGCTATCGAGCTGGAGAACAAAGGCTCTGTTGCTCGGGACCATCTCGCATTGGGTGTGTTTTCCTCCATACTCTTTGTTATTTGTTTACTGACATCCTGGTGTTAGAACGAACATTCCTGGCCTGGCTGAGGACATCTCTCGGGTTTGCCTCAATAGGTATGGAAAGTTTGAAGAGGTGATGCTTCGTACTGTAGTTAACCTCGTGCTCTCCTAACCAGGTATCGCTATAACGCAGCTCTTCCGTCTGAACGCCGGAGTCCGGGCAGACAACCCTAGTAAGTTTGCCAAAATAACTCCCGTCATACCCTCGAGTTCCAGTCAATGACGTCTAAAACACATGTTTCAGAGGGCTATCAGACAATGCGCGATATGGGGAAACCTCTCGGTGCCACCTTCATCGGCATAGCAATCATGGTTCTATTAATTGGCGTAAATAGGTTAGTTCCTTCCTCCCTCCTCCCCTCCTCTCAATACACTCCCTAAGGACAGCCCCATTCTAACTCCACCCGGGCGTCCCATGCCTGCCCGAGCAAATAGATACTACGAATCCCAAGGCTGGCTTCTAAAGGGCAAATTCCCCGCCAGCAGAGGCAGCATCTTCCTGTTAACATTGGTAGCATGTCTGGTACTTTGCGCCCTGCCCCCGCTATTAGTTGTGGCAGTTGAAGGAATCTCAGGCTAATACCCGTTGTATTAATTAAACGGAAAAAGCTCATGATGGCGACCCTCACTATCGTAGTAATAGTACAGCCGTCGAATTTTGGAAAATAGTACCCAGAATGCGACCTGGTATGTGTTTGTATTTCAGCGAAGGGAGGAAGTGTATGATTAGATTCTGAATGCTCGGTTTATTGGTTTATTTTCTATTCCACAAGGGTTTCTCTGTGAGGTCACTGCGTTCCGATTACCTAATATGATAAGAAATCTTTTTCATTTTTTTCCTTCTAGTTCTCTGGTTCACTTTTTGTTGGTATCTTTTTGTTGAAGAAGAATGTTCACCGTACTAGTATACTATAGCCACGGAGCAGACGTAGGCACATACAAATAAACAGGTGAATACCCAGCACACACTCTACAGGAATGGTCACTACCGGTGCTGTCGTGGCATCGGCGTATGGTACTATACTCGAGCCAAAGCCATCGGAGAAACCCTAATCAAACCACAGCAGCTTCCCATACCCCACAACATCACAGAAGAACGCTAGGATTATGCCGCAACGGCCCCACTACCATAGCGCCACCATTTCATCGTTGGACCTTGCGCTACCGTACCGGCTGGTGCAGTAGGCATTCTACTACGAGTAGAGTGGGTTTGAAAATGGACCAGTGGCTAGGTATGGGCAGCGGACGTGATTCCCTATGGCACGGTAAGTGAGCGATGGGTCAGTACTGTACCCGAATATGATATACATGGATGTATGTATGAGTGGATGGGGCACCATTCGATACTCATTACTACCGTGAAAATAGGGTGGATAGATGAAAGCGGGGGTTTCTGATCGCGGCTATGGTCAGGTGTGATGCTGTAGTTAATTGGCTGTCGGCGCCAGTGCCGGTGGGCCAGAGGTTATATACTTATGTATATCATATCAGGTTGAAGTATGATAGAGGGATTGATAGTCTAAATCTGGTATCGTGCCGTAGGGCATTCACCGTATGATGCGGAGATCCCACCCTACTGTACCGGCAATTTGGCAGGCAGCCTGTTACGACGGGCGTTTGATGGCTGACTTGGAATTGTATTGGTATGGTATGGTATAAGTAAGTACCTTTATAATATGTCCAGTCCCCCTATCCTAATGCCCAATCCCCCCCCCCAGAAACTAAAACAAATAAGACGGAGAGAAAGAAAGAAAGCGCAAGAGAAAAGATCATTATTCTAGAGTGCAAGTTATTTTCTCCGCCGATGGACAGCAGGGAAGGAAGGAAAACGGCTCGTGTATGACATCGACTCGACCAAGAAATCCCATCTCTGGAATCTGTACAGTACCCTGAACACGATAGATAGATGGATGTATAGATATAACCCATTTCCGAAAAGTAGAAAGGAACACCATGCGGAAGAAAAGCAAGAGAGGAAAGAAGAAATACTCCGTTTCCAAGGACAAAATATTTTATGCACACCCAATACTCCACCAGCCCACTCCCCCCACCTTCCTACTGGACCCTGGTCTTCTCGAGATACTCCACCAACCCCTCAATAGTGCAGACCTTAAGCCCCCACTTCCTCCCAAACTCCAAGCAGTCATCTCGGCGCATCATCAGCCCATCCCTCTCCCTAACCAGCTCGCAAATAGCACCAGCCTCCACTTTCCCGGCAAGCTTGCAGAACTCGACAGCCGCCTCGGTATGGCCCTTACGGACGAGCACGCCGCCCTCAACCGCACGGAGTGGGAACATGTGTCCAGGGCTGCGGAAGCTCGCGGCGGTGGCGGTAGGGTCGGCGAGCGTGCGGAGCGTCAGGGCGCGGTCATAGGCGGATATGCCCGTCGTCACACTGGGGTCGCGGGAGTCGAGGGAGATGGTGAAGGCCGTGCTGTGCGGCTCCTCGTTGTTCGGGACCATTTGAGGGAGGGAGAATTTGTCGACAAGGGTCGGTGAAAGGGGGGCTACTATTAGGCCGCTAGGGGGAAATTTTTAGACGGGTGGAAAAGGTACAACCGCAGGGAGGGCTTGTGAGGGGGGGAGGGTACCTAGTCCAGCGGACCATAAAGGCCATCTTCTCGACGGTGACGTCTTCAGCAGCGATGATGAGGTCGCCTTCGTTCTCACGGTCGGTGGAGTCGAGGACTACGATGAATTCTCCCTTTCCTATTATTCCCCAAACTATCCGTTAGCATGAATTCGGTTGAGCGCTCCTCCTCCCTTCGCCGAAACGATTCCAGAGGTTCAAATGGAGCCCATCTCTATTTCCCCCACAAACTCGATTGAAAATAACTTACGAAAGGCCTCAACCGCCTCCGGGATTGAGTGGAAGGTAGGATTTGTCTCCTCAAATGAAACCATTCTGTCCCTTAATTGTCTGTTATTGTTGTCTGGAGGTGGTGGTGGTTGATATGGGCGAGTACGCGGCCTCTGTCAAGAAAATCGCGGGGGACCTAAGATTAGTTTGTTTCCTTTCTTTCTTTCTTTTCTCGGTGCGTCACAAGCCAATTCAATCCTCCGAACCACGAACCAAAAAAAAAAAAAACTCAACAGAACAGAGCAGTAATCGGAACCAGTAAATCAGACGGGCGAGGAAGGGAAAGGGCAAGATGGGAAGGAAAAAAATGGCAAGATGGTTATTAAATATATAAGGGTCAATCCTAATTGTTTAGTAGTAATACAACACCCAGGTCACGATACCAGTATGTCACTTTTTATCCTACCTCTTGTTATCTCTTCAAGAGGAGAGGTGTAATCACCCCCGGCTTACATATGTGTGTCCTAGAAACCCCGAGTGGAATTGAACCCTTCACAGGGACATGGACTACCGGTACTCGTACCGGGATCGGGTCGGACTAACTAAAGCTGACTCGATGCTTAACAAGCCATCGAATGAGAAATAATAAGCAAGAAAAAAAAAGAAAGCTGGATTCGGATATCACAGCCAAAGCGAGGCTTCTATGATACACCTACAGTACCGTACTCGTACAAGTGCAGTCTTCTCTGCCGAACAGGGATCAGTAAGTAGTACCTTTTTTCTTACCCTACTTTAACTATTTCCCTTTTCGACCACCATATGCCCCTATTCTGTTCGTCACCCAACTTGGGAACGCGTTTCTTTTGTTCAGCGCTTAGGTTGAATGCAGCAGATGAGCCTCCCGTTTTGTACCTAAATGAAACCCCCCCCCACTTGGTCGAGGGGCAGCACAGCTTCCCCAACTACATGGCAACAAACATCTTGAGCTCCTGGCCCGCCCATAGTTCGTGGCACGTATGCAACGCATCAGATCCCTCCAACGCAAGCCGACCCATCGCAGATTGATTGGCACGGATTCCCAGGCTGAACCGCAGGATCCCTTCGTTTGTGTTCACCGAATCACGGTCGAGACCGCCTTCCACCGTATCGTACTCGAGTGCCTAAAATGAAAATCATGCCTCCCATTCAAGTACTGTAACCACCCCGCAGATCCTCAAGGCTAGAGACGTTTATTGGCCGGGTCACCATCAGAAGGACTCAGTCATACCCCTTCAAGCCAAGTATTCCTCATGAAATTCAGCATCCCTTCGTCTGTGTTCAGGACCTCACGCTCGAGCCGAATACTGCTAGGGTAATGGTATCGTCACTCGAAGATAAGATCCATTGACTCCTCCGGGCCATGAATTCCATTGGCCAGGTCACCGTTGAGAGACTGAGGCTACCCTTTTTTTATGAGCTTACTCAAGTAGTTTTTGAATATGGAAGGACAGAATAGGCACCAGAAGATCCTGAAGCTTGGGAACGAATGAAGGGATAAGAATGAAGGCATAGAGATGGAAGCGAGGGCTCCTCGATTAAGACGCGCTCGGTATGCCATGTTTTTGATTGCTACTGATTCAACTAACGAGTACCGGTATGATACCCTGATAGTAGGACCGCGTTTTTCAAAGTGATACGCCTCTCGCTGGTCTGGCAAAAGTTCCTTCCGCATATACTCGAGTATGTCTGGTCTGGTCAACGGACCACTTACGCTTATGAGCATTTAAAAATCCCGAGCTCACCACCCATAAAACAATGAGTGATATCACCACCAGAATGGAGGCTGTTTTTCTCCAGGGTGAAGGCCCTGTTCGCCAAAGTGAAGACTGATTACACCCGCCTGGCGGGCAAAATCACTTCTATATAATGGCAGTTGGGACTTATTGGTTTCGCTGTGATTACTTTTCTTGGTGTATAATACAAGTCCCCGGGATGGAGAACCCGAACCATGGTTTAGGAGGAATGATGCAGAAGAAGGTTGGGGGAGATTCGAGGGGGTAGGGAGGTGATGGAAATATTTACAGGGAGTGGGAGGTTGGGTTATGTTTCAAGAAAATTGTGAATAATTATTAGAAAGCCTAATAAACCAGATTATGAACTTCCAAATAGCTACAACAGAAAATCACAACCCCCAAGGTCCCTGGGGGACTGCCAGTTGATTTCTACCATGCATCTATTTTGTATTTTTTTCCTTCTTTTTTCTTGTTATGATGCCATGATTGTGGGGTTAGTAGAGGGGAAGATTATTGTCACGACCAAAGTTTTCTCGATCCGTTGATACACAGTTAATAATTCCCATACAGAGTGCCCAGCGCTGGTATCCGTATGATACAGCGAGGGGAGGAAGAAAGGTAGAAAACCCCTGGAGAAAATCGATTCTCCGCGTCTTCGGTATGCCGTGAAACCAGGCGGTCAGACAAGTGATGGGTGAATTGATTGATGACAGAGTATCGTACTCGAGTAGAGTACGCAGGAATATCTATGGTTCGGCGTAGCAGTTGTGCCCAGGCAGAATTGTTGCGCAAGCACATAACTACCGCACCGTAAAAGACCTAGTATCATACCGGTATCGATACGATTGTTTAACCCCGGTTACGCCCGGTAGAACTTCGGAAAGGGAGGGGTTGAATGTCGTATCGTATCACAGTAAAAAGAAAAAGAAAGGGCCCCCCGCTCATGCACCAACAAGCAGCAAGCCACCACGATCATCGACTTGATTAAATCTCACCCGGACCCCACCTCGCCCAGGCTTTTCTTGCCTTAAAAGTATAGATTAGAAAACAAGTGTTGCTCTATTACAGCAAGTCTAGAAGCGAAAGATGAAAATAAGATACAGTACAGCACAGCGGTCCCCCCCGGAACCCTAGGAAGTCAATGAAGCTTGATCGTTGGATGCTCCATCAAATGTGGTTTTTTTAAACCCATTTATCCAGAGGTACGGGAACGCATCGAGCCCATCCATTGGCTCGCCTAAACGCCCGGTAGTTGACAAGATCGAGACAAGAAGATATGATCATCGATTGCCGATGTGTGATAGTGGAAGTAGCCCCCCCTCTTCCCCGCGTCAACCCGTCTACCGCTTGTATCGAAATTTTGCTAGATTGGGAACTGCGTCTTCGATGTCAGCGACAAGTGCATCTTCGTCCTCCACCTCCATCTCTTCTTCTTCCTTCACCTCAACTCTGACCCTACGTCTTTTAGGTCTCACACGGCGTTCGGGAGCTGCGTAATTGTCGTCGTCAAAACCCTCGTCCGAGTCCTCGCCAATAACTCGCTTCCCCTTCTTGGCTTTGACCTTTTTTGGTTCCATGTATGCTGCCCCGCACAACCCACTCGATAGAGCGCACTCTCCACATTTCCTCCCCCTGGGGAGACATATTGTCTGTCCAAACCCAACCAGGAGGAAGTTTATCTCCCTCCACTTGTCCCTTGGAAGCCAAGCCTGCAGAGCTTCCCGAGTCCCTTCCGGAGTAGTGGTTTTGACCCAATCCCAAAGATTGCAAATCCTATTTGTAGACATACACGGTTAGTAAAGCTTATTATCAGGGATCAAGCGACCATTCTCAAGTACCGATGGACGTGGACGTCGACACCAATCCCTTCGGTTCGGTCCCATGCCGCAGATAAGCACAAGTGCGCCATTTTAGGACCAACGCCAGGCAAGGCCGTCAGACCCTCAAAGGTATCGGGAATATCACCACCATGTTTATCCCGGATGATTACCGCCGCCTTCTTGATGTATTCCGTCTTTCGATTGTGAAAGCCGACCTAAATCCTGACAATATTAGTGATCGCTCGTGACTAGGCTTTCTGTGACATGGCCCACAATCCTAATAAGCTCGTCCAATCTCTTTGGCTCTACTTCTAAAATACTCTCTAGGCAAAGTCCCCCTGGAAGCTGCTCCCGGAGACCTTTCATGGCAACCGCGTTGATTGTATCCTTGGTTTGACTAGAAAGCATCAACGAGATCAATGTGTGGAAACGCCGAAGCTGCAACACACACGCACACATTAACCACAATTTCACCACAGACTCTAAAGCCTAATGCTATTACGAACCTTAGGAGTAGCCGCCTTGTCCCCCAGCCTCTCACAACCCATTGTGTCCACCGGCGCCTTCACCTTCTTCCTCATCTCCCGAAGCTTCTCGTACACCTCCTCCCAATTCTCCGGAGCCTCAACCTTTACGTGCTCTTCATCCTTAACCTTCTTCCCCCGAGGTTTCCTCTGCCCAATCCCTTTCTCCTTTTTCTCCTCCTTCTCCTCCTTAATCAGAACCGGCGCTATATCCCCCAATTCAGGCGTCGGCTCCTTCTTCACGAGAGCGATAGCCTTCCTAGGAGCCTTCCGAGCACCCTTCCCCGGCGATGGTGATTGGAAGAACCTGGAAACGATCGAACCATTTTTCCCCTCCTCCTCGTCCTCCTCCTTCTTCACCTCCCTCTCTTCATCCGAATAATTACCCAAATCCGATGGCGGGGAAGAAAGCCCTGAGCTCGAATAATCATCACCCATGGGCACACCCGCACGCGTCTGCATAGTTGTGGGCCTCGTCGTTGCCACCCGGGTCACCGTCGTCGCCACCACCGCTGAAAGGGAAGAAGCTGCCCCTGCTCTCGCCGCAGCTCTTCCAGCTCGCGCCATTAATCGCCACAGCTCGAGTGGTCTAGACCGGTGTTAATGGTAGGAGAAACGATCCAATGAACCTGTAAAAAATTTCACCCAAAGAAAGGTATTGATGGCAAGTGCAAGACGGTACGAGGCGATGAGAGCTAGACTACTCGTACGGTACGGCACTGCACTCACCCGAGGGCCAAGGTAAGGAGAAAGAAAAGAAGGGAAAAAAAGGCCCTCTCGCTTGTGTCACCCACGCCAAAAGCAAAATTCATATTTTTTCCCCCAAAACAAACGAGTCTGGGGGGAAGGAAAGCTCCGTGATGCTGCAGGAAGCAAGCAAGCTGCAAGCAGCAACGGTGCAAAAAATGTCGTCATTGCGCTGCTGCGGATTACTGAGATTACCATCTCAGGTGTCAGGCCAGGCCAGGAACAAACTTTTTATCCGCTTTTTTTCTTCCTTCTTTTTACCCTTTCCCTATCACCCCCATCAATTGAATGGATGGGGAGCTTCGAGAACATTTTGTCCAACGTTGGATATGATAAGTTCGATTTTGATTGCTTTTCTTCTTCATAGCGGCGGCTTCGGGGTACAGGATTTGCAAGCAAGCACCAATCCCATTCACCCATCCATCGGGCCACATTTCGACTTTAGGCACGAGGAAATGAAAGCGAGAAAAGAAAAGAAAGGAAGGGAGAAAGGGGAGGAAATGACCCTCCCATCACAGATCCCATTCAAAAGAAGTTTTTCCTTGCTTCCTCTTCCACGCCAGTGAACACTTTTGTCAGCAACGCCCGTCAGATATGGTAGATAGACCCTCGTTAGCCTATGATTTTGTACCCCAAACACACGATGACGGGCACAAATGCACGCAGAGGTGGGGGGACCCCCACCCCAGAGGGCCAAGGAAAAGTGAAGGGAAAAGATGGCGAAAATGAAATCAAGACTCCCGGCGAAACAGCTCTACGGAGAACCCGATACCTTTTCTTCCATCTCTTCATCCTCAGGCTTGTCGAAACTCGGCGTCGGACTACTCTGGTAAACTAGGTATCATAGATCTCTCTCCTCCTCTCTTGAATACTCAACAAAAAAAGGAAAGCTGGATTAGGAGGTGTCATGTGCCGCGAGCTTAAAGTGGTGGTTAGACTGCCAGTCAACACAGGCAAATGAATAAACAGGCAGACTAGCGCGCCAACGACCACCTGGCAAACACCATAGCATGTGTTCGCTTGAGCGTGATACCGCAAATGCTGGATACAACACGTTAACCTACCTCACAATCGAAGCAAGAAAGAAGCACCATCACATCACCCCCCCCCCTACTGTAGCAATGACGGTAAAGCACCCTGACGACATTCCCAACTGCACTCCACCACCGCAAACCTCACTTCACGCCAAAACGGCGATAGTGTAAGGTACAGTACCCGCATCCCTCAAGAAACCAATCCAACGACCCAAACTCATATGTGCTGGTACTCGTAAGGTACTCGAGAAGTGAAGTTCAGTAAAGCACTGTAAAAATCAAAAGACCCACTTACTCTCCGCGTATTATACGTACGGAGGAAGGAGACAAGCATGGTACTTTACTTTTCCTGACAAACGAGACAGCCGCGGTACAGTACTTGTAGTCCATGTTAGACTATGATACCATGTTAGAACCGGAGACATGCAGTGGGGTACGAAACCGCGGGCTTGTATGCTTGCCCTGCTACTTGTAGGTTAATTGGTTAGTTACCGTATTGATGTGTGGGTGATTGCAGGAGCTTTTTTTTTTTTCTTTCCTGCCTCCCCCTCCCGAGAAAGAGGGAGTGTTCGAAAAGGACCGGTGTTGCTTTGTCGGTCTGGATGCGGAATTTCGCACATAAAGGGTAAATGGAGGAGGAGGAAGAGCGATCATGAAATATGATAGGCACGGTGGAAACTTGCTTAAAATGTCCGTTGCATCCTTGTTTGTGTTGAAGATGAACTATGACAAAAAAAAAAGTGCTGATCGAAATCAAGAAATCGAAATCAAGAAATCTATGCCCCCCAATCAATCGAGAAACACACGAAGTATGAGGGAAGAAAAAAAGTTTAGAATACCGCTAAATTCGAGGAAAAAACAAACCCCGACCCCCTCCCGACCGTCGCAAACATGTCCGAATCGTAACGTAATACAGAAAAGAAAAAAAGAAAAAACATAAATGTACAAGTTATGGGGATAAAATAAAAGCGCTTCGGAGATGCTGGGTATCTGGACCGTTCCTCCCTGAAATGTAAAACCGACACTTCTGCACTAGCTAGAACACAAGAAAACAAATTGTCAAAATGAAAATCAAACTGGGCCTATGGTTATGACCCGCCTAAACTTTGCCAACCACAGTCCTCTCGGAGTTCAGTTTGATCGCATTCCGGTCGTGCGATTCCTTCCTGCAGTCCTCCAAGCCGCTACACTTGTGATCCTCCAACAGACGGTGCTTGCCACAGTAATGTCCATCGCAAAATCTGCAGTCGCCAACGATGCGCTGCGCAGGAGTAGTACACTCCTTGAAATTGCAGATCTTCTTCTTCGGCGCGCCACCTCTTAATCGGAGAACAAGATGTAGGGTCGACTCCTTTTGAATGTTGTAATCCGATAACTGGCCAAGGTGATAAATATTAGTTCTATTAATCGAACTTCAGCAATAAAAAAAAATAAAAAAACTCACTGTTCTTCCATCTTCGAGTTGCTTCCCAGCAAATATCAACCTCTGCTGATCCGGAGGGATCCCCTCCTTATCTTGGATTTTGCTCTTGACATTGTCAATTGTATCTGAGCTCTCTACCTCCAAGGTGATGGTCTTCCCGGTCAAAGTCTTCACGAAAATCTGCATTCCTCCGCGCAGCCGCAAAACCAAGTGAAGAGTAGATTCTTTTTGGATATTGTAATCAGACAACTATTAAAGTTAGAAAAGCTCCTCTCCAGATAATATAACTAACGACTTACAGTCCGACCGTCTTCAAGTTGCTTTCCAGCGAAGATGAGACGTTGTTGATCTGGGGGAATTCCTTCTTTATCCTCTATAAAAATAAGTCAGAATCAAACATGCAAACACTTGACAATAGGGAAAACTTGAGCACTCACGAATCTTGCTCTTCACGTTATCGATGGTATCTGATGACTCGACCTCGAGGGTAATGGCTGCGAAAACTGTTAGCCACATGAACCAATTTGTAGAAAGTTTCGTAACTCACTCTTTCCAGTAAGAGTCTTAACAAAGATCTGCATTTTGTTCAATCAAAGAGCTTGAAGGATGATCTTTATAGATGATTTCTGATGAATCGGGGTACGTTGAGTGTAACGATGGCAGCTTTGTTATAGGTAATGTTGGTGGTGATCGGAGGAGTGGATGAACGATGAAGTGGATGAAGTGGGCGAAGCAAGGAGGATGGAAGGAGGGAGGAAAAGTGGTGGATATATATAGCGCCCAAGAGGTACAGGGAGAGTCAGCCCCCCGTAGTAAGGTGTGTGGTCAGTATGTCCTAGAAAGCACGAAACAGAGCTACGTAGCATGTGGTGGCGCTACAGGAATGAATGTTATTGAGGGAAGGTAGGGCGATTCCGGGCCTGTCGCAAGCTGCAAATAGGATGCCTGGGGTTGGTAGTGGTGGTGGTGGTGGAGCTGCCTGGCGCTATTCCTTCCCTCCTTCCCGTGCACTCTTTATTTTCCTTTACTACCCTCCATCTTCGCTAGTGCTTGCTGCTACTCCTTCTGGTGAGCGTTTTCCCAGTAGATTGCCGTGCTACGGTGCCCTATCATTCGGACAACCTTTCGGCCCCCTCTCCAATGTTAGCCACCCGAGAAAAAAAATCTCTGCGTGTCTGGACCTATTAGTTATCATTTCCTGTGCCTCCTATCCTCGTTGGTATTCCGGTCGAGACCCTTCCGGAAAGCGGTAAACGGTGCCAATCGACTACACCAGGCTTGTTAATAGTGTGCTAACTAACCACCCCTTCCTTCGACCATCAACGCCCCCCCAAAAAAAGGTGCGACAGTGGGTGCGGTGAAGCGCACGAAAGAAAGCTTTGGAGCCTCGACCATCGACCCGGTTAAACAAACTAGGAAGTTCTGGGGCTTTCTGCATTTAGGCCCTGGTTGGAACCACGTCAAGAACACATCGATGAAAGGGAAATACTGAATCCATAAAACCATGCTCGGTTATCTTTTCGCTGTGTGCAGCCAGTTCACGGAGGATGCTTGTGGGGAAGGCAGAAAAGAAACGACGAACCAAGGGAGCGTGACTAGGTACGACAGCGACTGCAGAAGGCGGACGCCCGCTTTCTACATACTCGAGTATCGGTATATGGAAGCCTCCGTCCGTGGCACGTCTACTCGAGTACCGAGAAATTTCAACCTCGTCCAGACTCCGCATCTCTCCCCAATCTAAGCTACAATTCAAAGCCAGTATGATGAAATTTGTGATGCGGGCTGCAGTTAAATGAGGAGAAATGAGAGGGGAAAAAGAAAATAAGGAATGAAAATCACGACCACATGAGCGATATTCTACTCGAGTAACAGCAGTCGAGTGTAAATTTCACAATTTGCAAGGGATGAAGAAGAAAAAAGTGAATATATTTTCTCATACGGTAGTCCCAGCAAAGCCATGCCAAAGCGAGCTTCATTTTTTTATCACGGCAGCTTCCCGGCTTGCTCACCGAATTATGTTCCTCAATGATGTGAAGTTTGCCGAAAGCAGATAGGATAGAAGAAAACCCTGAGTCTTGTGAGCGGAGCGGAATATTCTCTTTCAAACCCGACTGGACACTGCATACCTGTTTCTCGTCCCCAGTTCAGACCCTTGTAATAAAGGGGACATCGTAGCTATCATACTGTACGAGTAGTGGACACTATGTCGGTCACGCACAAATCGCTTTAACCTGAGAAAACGTTTTAGTTTTTCTGGGTCTCCTGTGTTGATTACAGGTGGGCGTAGGCCAACGCAGTCATACCTACCTCACATGGTTCATGCTGTTTTACTGAAAAATCTATCTCGAGTACTGTATGAGTATCTAATGAGACCCGACATTTGAGCTGCCTAACACGACCACGATACCCCCTTCGCCTTGTACTCGAGTACAGTGTCATGGACAGCATCTGTAATTAATTCTTCCCGGCCGGTACGACCGGGCTGTGGTCGCGAACAGTTTGCAGACCCAATGCTGGGCCAATCCGCACAAAAGCGGGACATAAAATCGTCGTATCATAGCCCACATCACGACGGATTTATGGCTAGATTTGAGCTAGGGTTCACCTTAATGTTCCCGCGTCCGGAGGAATACAAGGGCAAATGATTATTGCCATCTGCCGGTCTCGAGTTGACTAGGTTCCCCCAGAGCTCTTGAGGCCACTGGTTCGCTTCTCGGGCTGCGCCGAATGAGGGAGCAGATCATATTCTGACAGAAGAAGGAGCCTCCACCAAGCAGCCACAGTGATTGTGTGACACTTCCGACAGGCTTGGCGCAGCTTCAAAAACTGACCCGAGTGATTTTATGTGATATTGAGATGGGTCAAGCTGGCCCCGAGGATGGGATCTGTGGATGGTGAACCAATCGTATGATAAGACCATGGCTTCGTCTCCGGGGATAGAAATATTCCCCCCCGGATAGGATACGGTAGGCAATAAAACCCCCTCAAATATATATTGGAGATGAGAAGAGATCTAGGTCACTACCGCGTACATGGAATTGCACTCCTCCCGCCTTGGTCACACTCCGGCGTAACGGTGGGTCAACAGCCCACGTTAGGGCATGCATTAAGAAGCAAGACGTCTCGCTCGCATTGAGGTTCTATTGCAGTGAGCCAAAAGAAGGAATGGAGGCCACATAATTGGTTAAAAGCAAATGTCGATGGCCGGTGTTCCCGGTAAATCCTCATGTAGGGTCCAGTCCAGTTGGCGGACGTTGTATGCGAGATGTACAAGGAGTAGCTCCTGCTCGAGTAGATGTCGGCTTACTGTATTCGAGTAAAGCACGAGCATCGGGATATCAGGACAGGCCAGAAGCTATGGATGGTACCCGTGTTTTCGGGAGGGGGGCTATAATCTATCATCTAGATCTGAGAAATGCGTCCCACCGGTATCGACCACCGACACCGTACGATCGAGGGAGTGCCATCACCCCGATGGAGAGTCAATAGTTCATTATCCTGGCTGATGGAGAGGAGCCGGATGACTGGGTGAGAGTTTGTGCGTCTTACTGGGTGAGCAATATCGATTTGTCGGTCGATTCTTGGAAAAGTGGTGACACATAACGCCCGATTGGGCAAACGGTCACTTCTTGGCGCTAGCACTGGTGAACTGCAAAACGCGTCTCCTCGCCCTTCGCTCCTTTGCCTCCCTCAACGATTCCCATCTCCCCGCGTTTCCCCCTCCTGCCTCGCGTCTTCCCATTCAGCCATCATTCAAACCATCATGGAGGAACCCACCCCCCCACCGATTGTCTACAAGGCCACTTATAGTGGTACTCCAGTGTGAGTTTCTTCATCTCCCAACCCCATTCTGCGACCAATTTACCCCCCTCAGGAGACCCCCTTGCCGCTGTGAACCAAAATCGGCTCGAGGCGTCTTCTAGCTCCAATAAATCGACTTATTCATAGCTATCGTTCTCTTTTCCATCGGTGTTACATTTTCCTACCTGTTCGATTTGGCTTCGATTTTCCATGAACTTTTTTTCTCTTGAAACTAATCCCTAAGTTTGTTGGCAGATATGAGTAGTATGTTCACACCCAAACCCTCTGCCCTCGATTAACCTAGGCACTGATGCGGAATGAAGTATTGCGAGAAATATCGCATGTATGCGAAGACGGTCGGACTCATGGGTTAATGCCACACAGGTCTTGAAGGTTTGTCGTAGCGCTGGTCTTGATAGGGTTGACGGGTATTGACCTTGGGCTTTGGTCATAGGTAGCTGAGTTCGACAAGCCGCAGAGAACTCGAATTCTTGAGCGAGAGGTTCAGAGGGGGCTTCATGAGAAGGTCCAGGGCGGTTATGGGAAATACCAAGGTGGGGACGAGTGCAGGTTGTGGACTTCAAGTCACATAACACCTGGATTTCTGATTTGTTCGGCTCTTTCTGACCTGGTGTTTGCTAGGTACTTGGGTACCGCTTGAGCGAGCGAGGGAAATCGCTGCACTTTACAACGTTGAAGAGTTACTCAAACCGATTTTCGATTTCCGTCCTTCGACTGAGTCACCTCCCCTTGCTCCCAAGCATGTAACGGCTGCATCTACAAAGCCAAGGCCCTCACGAGCGCAGCCACGGGCTCCGGCGGCTCCGCAGGTTAAGAGGGTTGTCAGTAGGTTACGAGCTCTGTTTCCTTTGCTTTTTATAAAGGCGGAAGGCTTAATTACTTTGTTTACTCAGAACCGACACCACCCGTGCAAGCACCGCCCTCAATCGATAGCTTAGACGAAGTTGATGTCGAGGCTGAAGATGGTGATTTAAGCGATTTAGATCCACTCAATGATCCCAGTTCTCCATCGGTACAATCCTCATCTGCATCGGACGGGGAGCTCTCTGAACTTGAAATTGACGATCGACGCTCCCAGAATTCGGTATCGGCTACTTTGAAGAGGAAACGTGAACAAATGGATAACGAGGACATATTGGGGGGGTTCATGCCATCTTCGGGACAGAGAAAGGTTGCCTATAGTGATGAGTTACTGGATTATTTCATGGCCAACGAGAAGGGGCTACCGGAATTCCTCGTCAACCCGCCTCCAGATTTTGATGTGAATGAGGTCATTGACGATGAAGGGCACACAGCGTTCCACTGGGCAGCATCAATGGGCGATCTGAGGGTTATCGAGTTATTGTATCAGGCTCAAGCAAATATCTTCATGGTCAACAAGCGTGGTGAAACACCTCTCATGCGGGCTGTGTTATTTACCAATAATTACGATAGGAAGTCGTTTCCAAGATTGGTTGAAACGCTTCGGGATACAATATTTCATGTTGACAGTTACAATTCAACAGTGTTTCACCATATTGCAGCAACAACATCCTCGAGAAATAAGTTGTTGGCAGCAAGATACTATTTCGACGTACTTCTCCAAAAGCTAGGGGAGAAGCACTCCATGCCTGATATCGCTATGGTTTTAGACCTTAGGGACTCTCTGGGTGATACCGCGTTGACAATTGCAGCACGAAATGGAGCAAAGAAGTGTGTGAGGAGTTTACTCGCTCATAATGCCAATCCCAATACTCCGAACAATGAGGGACAGACGGCAGATCAATATATCGTTGCGGTAGAAAGGCAAAGACGAAATGGAGATTACCCACCAGCATCAAGTTCTTCTCCATTTCAATCACACGAGCACCACCCTCCTCATATCCACAATAGCCGTTTTCACAGACATCCTTCAACACAATCGGTCGCGACAGTGGCAGCTATCAATTATGCAAACAATAACTACATCCCCCAGCCACATATCTCGGAAGCAGCCATCGCAGCAACGCAGAAGGTCATACCCCTAATGGCTGAAATGTTAGAAGGGCTTGCGACAGCTTTTGATAAGGAGCTGAATGACAAGGAGGAGGATCACAGCCAGGCTCAGCGATTATTAGACAGTTCCACTCACGAGATACAAACATGTAAGGCTACGTCTGAAGAAACGCTGGCGCCTTTCGGTGATATCGCAACAATGGAAGCCCAGATTGAAGCTCTCAAGGCAGAGGCAGATGCTCTGGCGGAGCAGTTGAAAGAGGTTTTCGAATGTGGGCAGTATCATGACCTTTCAGGCCTTGTTCGAGAGGAGGCAGAGCAACTACCTCCTCAAGAGATGGAAGCCTTGGATGAGGATACCTCCGAAGCCTGGTTGGAAAAGTCTGAGGTTGCTAGGGAACTTAGCCAACTTCAACAAGAAAGGGCAGAGTTAAGGGATACAATTGTCAAAGCCTATGCAAGGAGCGGGGCCGGTGAGAGGATGAGTGACTATAGGAGACTTATTGCGTTGAGCTGTTCGCTGCTCCCCGAAGACGTTGAAAAGCTCCTTCCCGAAATTTTGAAAGATCTCGAAGCTAGCGGTGACGGGGGTATTGGCGATGGTTTAATGATATGAACGAGAGTTCTTCGATTCATTTCCCCCTTGTATTCAACATTTTCTTCAGTTTGAATATGCATCTTGAATTACCTATGTTGGGCTACCCCCCCCCTCTTTTTTTGCTCTTGTTTCCTTTTCTTCCTCTTTTCGAATTTTGCCAGAACATTCCGGATTGGGAGGGCCTCTGGGGGGTTAATTGGCTGGTTTGCTGAAGTTAGATCTGGCGTTTTCTGAAATGGTAATTTGGTTTGAACTGGCTATGAACAATAACTTGTATTTTGTCCCGATTTTATCTATTTCCGGTGAGCGTTTTGGGATATATATTTTTTGTATAGCTTGTATTTTTTTTTACCTTTTTTTCAACTATTACATCCCCGTCGAAACCGTCATTACCCGCACCATGTTATCATACCATATCAATCGTCTTGTAATGCACACCATTTCCATTTTCACTTTCCTCTTACCCTCCTTCTTTCTATCTGGCTCTCTAGTGGGCGAGAGCTCGTACGTACTATCATAATAAATCATACAAACTTCGAGAGCGTCAAACCGCACCAAGACGCCAAAGAATGGAATCCGTCGTGGCTGTGGTGGTGGGAGGGAGGTTCAAAACAAAGACAGACTGGGAGATTCTGTTACCTGTACTTCTACAGTCACTAGACAAAAGTCTTGGTGATGGCACCATCTGAGATGCTGTCTGTGCTCTACTCTAAGTTACGGCGAGATCCCATGTTTCTTTGCAAAGCAAACGAGCGTGAGCATTGTATGAAAAAAACTATATGCTATAACGTATTTAACCCAGTAATGGGTCACACCCCAGTAATGGGTCAAACTATCATGACAGTTTCTTTTGACAAATATTTGATTTGTGTATGTAAAAATGATCAGATCTTCTTCTAATTTAATTTCCAGATTGCCTTCAGGGTATCAAACTAGCATTCTAAATATTGAAGTGTTTGCTTCATTGTATTATCTGTAAATAGAGCAAGTGAGATATCATGATTTTGTAACAAATTGTGATAAAGAAAAAGAATAGCTGCTGCAAAATATCCAATATTTCTCCAGGTTATAATATAGGTGATAGACCCTGAGGCCTATAATTTATAAAAGGGTAGGGTAAGATCTGAGGCTGAGTAAGAGTTTTAAAGATTTGGTATCTTTTTCTCTTTAGACTCCGTGAATCTTAACATACTACTAACCACTTTCAACATTGTATTTCACAAAAAGATTTCATAACACCAATGCCAAACAATAAGCCTGACCTGGAGCATCACCTTCAGGCAGCTATTGATGCCAAAGAGAATGATACAGTTCTCTCCATACGTTACTTGGCTGAATTATATGGAGTTTCTAATACCACACTTCAGAATTGTCTCAAAAATCGCACAACTCCTCAGAAAGCAGCTCATGAAAGCCAGCAAGTTCTTACTCACTTGGAGGAGAAGGTCATTGTCCACAGGATTGAAGATTATGATGATCGTGGTATTCCCCTCCGCCGAAGACACGTTCTACAAATGGTATCTGAAATATTGAAAGCCAAAGGAAGAGTTGCGGAGATTGGAAAGGGGTGGATTGACCAGCTTGTTCACAGACACAGGTATTCAAACCAAGGTTGGCAAGAGTATCGACAAGGAGAGGGCACTAGCTACAGATATGTCTATTCTAAAGGGGCATCGTGAAAGATTTTATGTGTTGAAGAGCAGATATCATATCCTTCCAGAAAATATTTGAAATACTGATAAGAAAGGGTTTGTAATAGGATTAGGTGCAGGTGGTACTGTTCTCTGCCATACTGGAAGATGCAATCCAAAGATAATGCAGGATGGTAAGAGAGACTGGGTTACAGTCATCGAAGGAGTTGCTGGTGATGGAAGAGTATTGACTCCTCTTGTGATTCACTCTTCTACAGCACATCTCATGGGCCACAATTCAAATATCAACTACGAGATTGACAATGATACCTTCTTCACCTACTCCAAAGCTGGTGTAACAATCCCTCCTTGGATGGTTAGTTCTTAGTGATGGGGAACAATACTTCTCTTCTCTCTCTTCTTCTTTCTTTGTCTTACGATAGCGCTAGGTCTCTGCCTATGTTACCGATAGTACAAGACCTCTGTCTTCGATCAGGAATGCCTATCGTAAGCTTTCTCTAACTCATCTTCGTGAAGAACTTTTTTTGGCGTAACAATAACGTTGTAATAGAGAGAAAGATCATAAAGGTGTTTTATATTTGTTAGAGTAATAAGTAGGAAAAGTACTTAGGATTCAATCTAATTTTATTTAAACTTGTACCGCCAACACTGGCATACGATGAGCCCCCGCCAGTACAGGGATACTGCTAACTGGGATACCACTAATCCTAAGCTAACTAGGTCTATGGCCCCGCACCTACCATCCCCGAGTCATGCATGCACGAGAACTAATTACAAGACCATCAAACAACTCAGTGGCCGCCCCAGTCCAAGTTCGTAGCCGCTTTGGTATGAAGCCAACCAGCACTAAGCGTAGCTGAAGCCGAGCAAAAGACCAACCTGACCAGGTTCCTTGTCCAACAAACATAAAATCACTACCACCTAGTCCAAAAACCGTCCCGCAAAACCTCCTCCACAGTAGAAAACCAACAAAATACACAAAAACTAATACTACAGGTGACACAGTGGCAGGGAGGAGGCAACCAACATTTCAACCTCTCGCATCCACATGGCTGGCTGTCGACCCTATGAACCCACTTTGTCGGTTGCCTCCTAAGAGCGTACCGGTGAGGAGGACCTGTACCCGCTGCCTGTTCCCCAAACAAATCAACATAAACAAAAGAAATACATAGAGGTGGGGACAGACTTAAAAGGTCAGTAGGGCTTATCTCCCACCCGTAGTGCTGTGCCTCCTCTTGCCCAACCTGTAGTCCAACTAAAGAAACTAAATAAATCTCAGAAAGCCCAGCAAGCAAGACCCAAACAAGTCCAACCAGGTGGTTGCAACCCACTATCCGCATAGGTGGCCATCAGCCAACCGGTCCGTCGGGGAGCTTTGCAGCACTCAGCAGCTTCGCCCAACAGCCCAAGCTGGACTGGAAACACTTAATTAGACCTCGTCCAACCTGACGCAGGCCCGACCAGTGCTTACAGGTGCCTCTCCCCCCCCAATCAGCCTCCTCCAAGCCCCACACACCAGACGCTGTAGAGCCCATCGAGCCCCCCAGCCCCTCAGACAGATCGACCATCTGATAGCTATAGGACAGCCTATACCCAGCCCTATCAGGCAGTTATTAGTCTTGGCCACACGAACAGAGCCCTAACTCTCAATACCGTATAGCCGAGGGGGACCCACCAGCCACAGCCAGGAGCTACAAAGGAGGCAGCACCAACACCCGAAGGCATCAGCACCAGCCACACCATCCAACCCAGCCAATCTGAAGTCCAACTGAGTCAGGAAAGAGTAAGCAGAGCCAGCCAAAGCCAGCCCTACAGGTCCGGTAACAGGCATGGACAGAGTAACATGCAAGAGGCATCCCCAACTGACGCGACAAGAAGGGGGAGGGCAAATGAACAGAAGTAGACAAACAAAAGGTAGGCCCCACTTGCAATGGGTAAAGCCGCCGAACCACAGACCACAACCAAACCACCTAAACGCACAGACAACGTGAGTGTCTGGCAGCTAATTGTTCCACACCACCCCAGGTAGTAATGTAAAACCACAACAGGGGGTAAGATATTTCAGGATCAGAGCCATCCCCACTATAGCGAGGAGGAGATACCTAACTCAACTACCATATATGCTGCAAAGACAAAACTTCCAAGGGAACGGTGATAAACAACATCGTAGGATTCTGACCACAGAAACAAAAACGTAACGAGGAGAGGCTGGGTGGGCACCACGCTGCCACTTCAGAAATGATGTGGCCGGTACGACGAGTTGATACTTGGAAAGGTCATCAGTCTAACCCAAGGGTGTTTTGTATGGTGAGAACTAAGGACTCCGTTAAAACCCAACAAGAAACATGAGCTGGCCCAAAGAACGACAAGAGTTATCCCCCCAAACACAAAGTTCAATCCTCCACAATCGAACGCAAAACCTGCGAGTAGACGATAGACAGGAAGCCAAAGATATTTTACCGAAAGGGGCTCATAAGCGACCGTGTTGAAGAGCTCGAAGTGACAGCATTGTGAGAAGCCATCAGGCGACAAAATGAGAAGCAAACAAGTAATCTACCACGCAACGCCAACAGACCTCAACACCAATAACCCCAGGAACTACTGTGTGAACTCAGATATATCCCCCAGAATCCAAGGTATCAAGGCCCACTGTGGGTACGAAAGAATCGCTCAGGGCGAAGCAACGGCAAGGACGAGGAAAAGTACTGAGAATAAAGCGTAAAGAACCTATCCTCCTTGGCCGCATCGGCCTCCTTATATAGTGTTCTTCCCGCCCATAGTCATGTGATCCAAAGTGGTCACATGTGCGAAACCAAATCAAAACAAACTAGTCATGTGACCAAAATGGTCATATGCTTAAAACCTATGATCTTATAACGAGGTCAGGTGCAAAACTCATAAACCAATCATAACTCAATAAACAAGTCATATGACTCGACTGAGTCACATGGGTAAAACCCATGACCTTATAACGAGGTCATGTACGAAACATAAATCATATGCGTAAGGCCTACCTGCAAGGCACACTCGCAAGACATACTTACCAGATGCACTCCCATGACTCATATTTGAGCCATGTGCGAAAGTATCACAAATCCCACATATAACAAATCATCTGACTCGAATGAGTCATCTGTGTGAAATAATAACATACCTGTGACTCATAACCATGTATCACCTGAAAACCTTTTCCTCGCCAAGCCATATTTGTAACAGCTGAATATACCTCGTGTGAGATTGCTATTGATTGGTTTGATCAAATCTTTGAACCTCGTTCACATCCAGCAAATGGAATTACAGAACATAGAATGCTGGTCCTTGATGGCCACAGCTCCCATGTCAACAATATTGAATTTATTGAACATGCTCTTACAAACAATGTTCATCTCATCTGTCTTTCTGCTCATACAACACATATCTTACAGCCCTTGGATATTCGATTGTTTTCACTATTAAGCAACTATTACAGGCAAGAGCTTGAGGACTTTCAATGCAACCATGGGCCCTTTTGGAAGATTCGCAAGGGAGACTTCTATCCAATGCTTCAGAGTGCAAGCGAGAAGACTATGATATCCACGAATGTGGTGTCTGCTTCGCGTGCTAGTGGAATGATCCCATTCAATCGACAACATGTACTTT